GACTTATCTCACACCTAATATAGGTATCAGTGTGTTATGCCTATCCAGCCAGATCTTTAACCTATCAACCAAAATCTAAATAATCTTTCTACAAGACATCTCATGGGCAGTCACAAGACATTTGTCACTTACAATAGTGCTGAACTGTGCAATGGGACCACTAATCTAACCATACACTGTTAGTCAGTGTATACCTATACCTATAGCCCCTACTGTTAAACTGAGTATAAAGACCACTTCCCACTGTGTATTTAGACCATTAGCCTCCTTATCTGTCTGTGAAGACCACAAACTACTCTTTATTAGGACCACTTTCCATCCTGGTATTAAACTGTTTATTAGGATTACTTACATCTTACTGTTGAATATATACCACTTATCACCCAACTATTTAACTGTGTGTAAAAAACATGTATTACCCTATTGTTGAACTGTGTATTAAGACCACTTACCATTGATCACCCTAATGTTGAACTGTTTATTAAGACCACATATCTTTGGTGTTGTTGAACTCGCAAAAGTTTGTCTTATACTAAGATCACTAACCATCCTACTGCAGAACTGTATATATGGACCACTTAGTTACCATCCTACTGCTGAACTGTATATATGGACCACTTAGTTACCATCCTACTGCAGAACTGTGTATAAAGACCACTTGATTACCATCCTACTGCAGAACTGTGTATATGGACCACTTAGTTACCATCCTACTGCAGAACTGTGTATAAGGACCACTTAGTTACCATCCTACTGCTGAACTGTGTATGAGGACCACGTAGTATCATTTGACCACTTAAATTTTCCTACCTTTGAACTGAATATAATTTGACCTCTTAATTTTTCCCAATGCTGAACTGTGTATGATTTAACCATTTTAATTTTCCTACTGCTCAACTGCATATTAGGACCACATACCATGCATAATTATGCTGAAATATTTTATTAAATTACTTCTTTTAACAAAGCATGTCTTTTCTGTAATATTTGATACCAAAATAGATGATCAGTTACCTGTACACACAACACAACTAACGATTACTGAAGTTTGTGATAAGCTGACAAATCATGGCAAATGTAGTGACTTAATGTACACACTAATAAACAGAAAGAAAACGAATAACCAAAAATGAAAATATTTGTATAAACATTCCCTTGTTATGTTGTCAGTTGTTGGCAACAGGTCAATCTACTTCTGGACAAACAACCATATCAGTGTTATGTCATTATATAAATAGGCGATCAGTAGATTATTTCAGTATGGTATTTAAATACCTATTTCATTTCAAAGTATTACCTATCCCAGTCATGTCTAGAGCTTTAGTATTTATTCATGGTAACACTTTGGATACAATTCATTTTCATTTGATATATCATTTATACTGGGTAAATCTCATTGTTTTTTAAGTTCCTTTCTTGCCATACAGGCAGTAGGAGATTATATATGATATCAGCAAGCATACGACAGAGAGAAGATTTGATAAAAAAAAAATTAAATACATAAATTCTTATTGACCCCAACCCTCGGCAGGGAGACCTAGCTACTATATTGACTCAACATACAACAAGTAGAGGACACCTGTTTGTATAGTAATACACACGACACAATACATATAAAATGGGGCACTGTCATCAGTGTAAAATAAACATTCGGGGAGGTATATATCCGAGAGTGTAACTGATAGTGAGGTTGATATGAGGGAGGTACATATCCCACAGTGTAACTGATAGTGTGGTTGATATGAGGGAGGTATATATCCCACAGTGAAACTGATAGTGAGGTTGATATGAGGGAGGTATATATCCCACAGTATAACTGATAGTGAGGTTGATATGAAGGAGGTATGTATCCCAAAGTGTAACTGATAGTGAGGTTGATATGAGGGAGGTATGTATCCCACAGTGTAACTGATAGTGAGGTTGATATGAGGGAGGTATGTATCCCAAAGTGTAACTGATAGTGAGGTTGATATGAGGGAGGTATATATCCCTGAGTGTAATTGATAGTGAGGTTGATATGAGGGAGGTATATATCCCTGAGTGTAACTGATAGTGAGGTTGATATGAGGGAGGTATATATCCCTGAGTGTAATTGATAGTGAGGTTGATATGAGGGAGGTATATATCCCACAGTGTAACTGATAGTGAGGTTGATATGAGGGAGGTATATATCCCACAGTGTAACTGATAGTGAGGTTGATATGAGGGAGGTATATATCCCACAGTGTAACTGATAGTGAGGTTGATATGAGGGAGGTATATATCCCTGAGCGTAATTGATAGTGAGGTTGATATGAGGGAGGTATATATCCCTGAGTGTAATTGATAGTGAGGTTGATATGAGTGAGGTATATATCCCTGAGTGTAATTGATAGTGAGGTTGATATGAGGGAGGTATATATCCTTGTGTGTAACTTCTTCATCATCATCATCATCGTCATCGTCATCATCATCGTCATCGTCATCGTCGTCGTCATCGTCATCATCGTCGTCATCATCATCGTCATCGTCATCATCATCATCATCATCATCATCATCATCATCATCATCATCATCATCATCATCATCATCATCATCATCATCATCATCATTATCATCACCATCATCATCATCATCATTATTATCTTATTCTTATATAATTAGCACATCTCAGTTTAATTAAACCTTTGAAATGATACACATTTTCCAAAAAATACACATTTTAGGTACTTGAGTATAAACTATTTTATATAATGTACAACAAGAAAAATTCCCATTTGAACACTTTGTATAACAGAGGATACCAAACAAACAATGACATATAAATTGACCAGACATCTCGAACCTAACTGACATCAGTTTACATGTTTCAGTCACATTTACAGTAAATACTGTCATAATATTTACTGAAGGTAACCAACCATTGTACTAATACAGTGATGGTTAAATCTTATTGTTCAAATAACCCAAAGCATAAGTTTGTATTAAAAAGTTTGTCAGTGAAGTTTTCCTAAAGGTTTTGCTTTCCTATTGATAAGATTGGTTTAAACATAGTATTTATAGTTTGTGAATGGTTGGGATGGCCATGATTAAAGTATCACATGTCTATATATGTTCTTTGTAGTGTGTAAAGTATACTATGGGTATATGTGTGTAATTAACAAATACTGGTGTAGAGTTAACATCTGTAATGTATTACAGGTAGCAATGTAAACAATTCATCAACTGTTTTAAGTGGAAGAGACATGGTTACTAGGAAATTAAATAAACACTTCTACCTTAGTTAGTATTTCATAAAAGCTGTTACTTTAAATAGCCTCAAAATAAATTCTTTATGTGGTTACAAGTACAACAATTACACTGCCTGTGTACCTGTTTCTAATATTACAACCATGAATAGCCTCCCTTTAATCAGATACATCAAAGGGAACCATATTGATACGTTTCTTGTAAGACAATAAAAATCCTGATAAAAATCAGAAAAACCAGATAACGAAGAGGGCTAAGTGTTTCTGTAAATTCTTATTACAGCTTCAACTTTCAGCATACATGTACATTGTACATAGAATTAAAAGGATTTATCTATAACCTTTTTAACTTTTACCATACAACTAAAGAGATTTAAATTATGTTCTGTAGTTTTTTGCTGTAAAGTGAAAATTAGATTTTAAATTTAATTTTCTTGACTTTTCCATCATGAGATTTAATAATCTTTATACATATATTAACTTTAAATATACGTTTAACACTGAACTAAGTTTTGATCAGGTGATGAATTGTAAACAAACACTTTCAAACTATTCTATCTTACCAGACTACATTACGGCTTGCTTAAATCTACTCAGTATGATTTAATGATTTCACTATAATCCTAATCCTAATCTGAGATTATTATCAAATGTAGGTGTATAAATATAATACACATATACAGGTATCACATGTGTCATATCTTATTGTTAACTGTAAAATTATATCTCCAAACTGTTTTATCAATGTAGATTGTTCATGCGATACATTGGATTTTATCAGAGAATATCTAATTAAATGTGTGTCAGATGAGGACAAGGAGCTTCAAGAATGGTTCCGAATATTAAGCTTGCATTAAAAAGATCAGTAACTTTTCACTGAAAATTTTAGAAAAAGGCAAAAAAAACTCATAAAGCATTTGACTACATTATCTCTCAATAAATCACGTTCATAACATTCAAATGACTTCTGAAGAACCCTCTTGTTAGCCTCAGTGTCAGATTATATGACAGAGTCAGATTACAGGTAAGATTTAACAGTCAGTAATGATCAATTACAGGTGTGTTATAGCAGTACTTAAGTTTCTCATCACTATCTTTTACATATATATGGTGCAGTGCAGTGTTTTAATTTATTAAAATCCAAAGCAATTTCTTGTATGAAAAGAAATAATTTCTTTTTTTTTCTCTCATTAATATCATGAAATAATTATCATCCACTTTCCCAAAACTTACACTGTGTGTTACATATAGTGCTAGACTTCATTTATGCTGTTATAATGGGCTCAACTCACTATTTCACAACCATCAGCTTTATTGAAAGTTTGTGATAATGAGAAAAACAAAAAACAAAACAAAAACCAAAAGAAGACAAATGTATCCACATTCAGCTACTATATTTAACTATTTTTAGGTTCCTAATATACATACCAATATACAAGCAATCTTTAATTTTGTTTCTTAATTAAATCAACCTTGTGTTCACTCTATCTAAACGAGCATGTTAATTTAGTTTTAATTTAATTTGTGATCACTTTTTTAAAGACAAACACGCAAATTAGGTAGAATGACATAAACTCATTTTAGAATGTTTTATAATAAAATAATACATTTTAAGAAATATTACTTAAAACAAACAGAAGACCAAGTAAAATGAAAGGCGTACGTAAGGCAATGCAAATGTAATATCATAATACATTATACGTCCCTGGTATGCTATATTATTAAAAAACATAAATTAAAGAAAAAATAAAAATATGTTCTTGATTTACTTACGATCATGGATGAGAGTCAGAGGACCACTGTTTATGTCGTATCGCAACATTTCACTTTTTCCTCACACCCTCTCCCTGTTTAATTATATATTTGCTCGCACTGCTGATCACAAGTAAATGATAACCTATGTGCCACCACATAGGGAGATAGGTAGACCGGCCGCATGCGATTGTTGCCGTAATTGTCATGGAGCGATCGTCACGGGTCACTGATTGTGACGCGAAGGGGATTGTTATATTTAGTGTTTTCTTATGTGGACTTTTGTCACGTAAATCCACCACCAAAGTGTATTTCCGACCCAAAAATTATGAAAGCCGGAGTGCATGCATCTTATTTTTAATGTTTGAATGGCAAAATAAATCATTTATCTTTGTCCAGTTCGCAACTTTATATATCGTAGTGTATACAAATTTGACCTACCGGAAGAATAACTTTTAGGATGCATGCGCATTGAAGAAATTCCTACAGTACATCCGATTGACTGTAGAGAAGATAAACTTAGGAAAATAAACAAATTCCAAACACCATGGCGGAAATTGACCCCATAATCATCGTAAGTATGGTTAAATGTAGCACCAGGTAATTACTAATTTTCTTTCATTAATTGAAAGGTGTCGCATCAATCATGAAAGACTACAAGGTAGATTTTAGGAAAGGTCCAATCTTACCGGCAACTTCGGCCTCTTTGGCACTGGAAATTGACAGGTTGTTGATGTTTTGGTTTAATAGTTTGTCATCATGTCGCCTGTCACATTAACATTCAACATGTATTATTACATATTAGGGAAAAAATACTCCATGTCTACATTTCTGAAGTCACGGTTTGCGTCCGTAGCCTGTTTAAACATGATTGAAGCATCATTGGATTTGAGAGTATATGCAGTCTGTCTGATCGAGTAGTGAAAAATCACAGGTGTTTGAAATTCTTAGTGTAAATTGTATATGATATACCATACCGAAAATAAGTGTTTCACCAACTATTTATATAATGATACCCTTATATTCATATGTTATATAAAACTTACATTGAGTCGCAGCATCAGCTAGCCCTGATTAGACCCTAATTTGAGTCCTCTTGCTCAAACAAACCATATCAGTCAACTTGAGGTTGTCTGGAGGAGAGCGGCTAGATGTGTCTGTAATGACATTCATTTGAGTACAAGGTTTTGTCTTGGTAATGGTTGAATCCTTCAAATGGGAGTCAGGGATCCTGATTCACTATTGACCTCATAGCTTTACCATGCGCTATCTTCAAATTCAGGCATCCAAATCCCTTTTTAAGTTCATTTACTTGTCAAGGAGCATAGTTGACTGGAACAGCTTACCCTCCTCTGATCATCGTTTTGATTGTAAAATAATTGACATCATATATGAAAAAGGGAAAAATGCTACCAAATACATATTATAATCTACATATCTTCTCGGTTGGTGTGTACAAATATGCAATTTTGTTTGGTTTGTCTGAAAAACACTTATATGATGATAAATCTACATGAAAGTCCTGAGTCCTGTTCTCTTGGAATTTATATCGGGTTCAAAGAATTTCTGGAAATACTTAAATTGAAAATTGTAGATTGATCATTGCACTTTATGACCTTAACCTGTACTCCACAGTGTCAGAAATGTGTCAGTCAGATTCATGGATATTCGCAACCTAGTGCTATACTAGTTGCACTTAGAAAGATGTCCTACCTGGCATAATCTCAAAAAACTATAATCAACAGCTTAACAATGTATTGGTTTCCTGGATCCACAATGACTATGTCATGTGTACACCAATTAAGTAACAAAGCCTATTGTACCTTTTGGGTATTTGCAGGTGTAAAATTTTATTTTTATGGTCATTTAAATCATTGTTCTTCAAGAAGTTGTTTGATCAAGAGAGTGAATATGCATGCAGTAAGATTCAGGCTTGCATAAATTCCTACAATTAAGATATTAATTGTGTTGTGGTAATCAAGATTGTTGGTTTTGTTGATATCTACTTTAATTGGTTCATGAATATTTTTGGAAAAGCAATAGAATATTTATGGTAAATGTCAGTTTGGACAAATAGACAATATTGTGGTATGGCATATGATGTTCATAGAAACATGTTAAAAGTGGGGGTTTTTTATAGATCAGAGTAAATAATACTGAACATTCAATCAATACATGTGTATATAATGTACTGCCTATACATGTGCAATATTGTTGAAACAACTGACATAGATTTTGTTTACATTTACAGGGGAAAATCAACTACTACTGCAGAGAGCAGTATTTTTGTCACATGGAAAATGCTGCAACTGAAGGACTTCAAAAATACAGCAATGATGTTGTTCTTAAATTTTTTAGGGCCTACTCTTACATTTTACAAGGTAACAATGACTAAAATTAATAATATAATTTTGTGTGGGTTGCCCCAAGGAAAAGAAGAAAAACTTAAGACATAAATCACTTTCATTAGTGAAATAGAATTTCATACATTGAAACCACGTTCAGAAGAATGACGTTTAGGGCAAACATGCACAAATCTCAATCTCGTTAAGATTTTCTAAAGGAAAGCAAAACTCTGTTGAGTTTAGGTCTGCTTTTTCAATTGTCAGGATCTTTTGAACAGAAACAGAATAAGTGATATCAGTAATATCATATGTGAGATTTGATGGGAGTCAGGATTAATTTTATTCATTTGTAGTTTTGTTTCTCAAAGGTTGAAGCAAGTGTCATTCAAAATAAAATTGCCCTTAACTTAACTAAGGTGGAAGGTGCTGTAAAATGATATCAGAACAAATACCATAAAAAGTAATAGTGCGACTGTCTAAAACCCACCCTTCATTTTAAGTACTAAACTCCAGATGCTTCATCTCCAAGGAGTCTGTGCTCAGTCAAGAAACTGGTCAGGTTAAACCGTGAAACAACGCTACACAGTGTCCTACTTAATGTGACTACCAGTACCAGTCATTTTGATAAAACATTTTACAAGAACTGCTTCCTTTGTGAAAAATCAGTGTGTCTATTATGGTGATTACAACAGAGTGCTTTCTCTTTTTTTTTTACTAGAGGGAGAAGGGAAAGATTGTGTTCCTTTAGAGTAAACATGGGGAGGTTTCAATGGAAAAATGGATATATTGGAAAAGGGAAAATTGCAGATGTGTACTTGATTAGCGATCAATGATTGGCTTTTTGTGATAGACTTGGTGAACTGCTAGACATGTCTCCTGATCAGCAAATGAAAAAAATATGATTACCTGTTTAATCACTGGCCAATTTTGAGAAAGATTGGTCTTTGTTCCTACACAGTTTGTCCCAAGGCATCTTATTTTTATATACAATTATGTATAAAGTAATCTGTTATAGATACATAATTATACACATCTCGTGTGGAGCGTGAATGAGAGAGACAGTAAATGCTACACCATGTATGTATGAAGCCCTTGTTCTTGGTGTTTTGTTTTGACCCCCGTTATGTTCAATTATTGGTCCCCCACTGGAAACCATGGGAGGGAAGGGGAACTCTTGTCTTGGATCAATTTTCTACTTGTCACTGCACTGGAATGTCATACTTGGTGCATGTTTTCACATTTGTGGGGTAGGGTGTCATTATGTCACTTCTTGTCTGGGCTCAATTTCCTACACTACTTATCAATGCACTGGAATTTCATATAATTAGGGCATGTTTCACATTTGTGGGGTGGGTTGCCAAGTAAGTCAATGTTCTTAACTTCATTTTTACTTTTGACCTATATCAAAGAAAAAATTATTGTTGGACTGTAATTTCCCTGAATTGTCTTGTTTACTTTGACTTTCACAGATTAACCCAAGGGATGATGTGTCCATCATTTTCCTCAACATATTATACATAAACTGATAATCAGTAGATAATATTTATAAGCCCACACATGGTTTTTTTATTGCAGTTTAGGAAAATGGAAGCAAATGCTTTTTCAATGTTTTGAAATAATATAAGCTCGCCCCCTACTTTGATCCAAGTTTTTGTCATGGTACCATTTGATTTTGTTTTCAAGGCCGTACTCAGGAAGGCATGCGTGAGCTTGATGTTCTGAAAGACAAACGTGATGTTAATCTTTGTTCTACCATGGCACTAATGCTGGGTCACAAACAAACTCAGAATGTTGGTAAGTCCAGAGCACAATGTTGAGAACAGTTTCACAAAAGAAAACTGTTTTTCAGTTTTTTTATTCGTAGTAAAATATCCCATGGTAAATGTATGATAAATATTATAATGGGAAAGACATAGTTTTATTATTCATCAGAAAGTAAATACTTGAAATGTTTTCACAGTACAATCATAATTTCATCTTTTCTCACTAAATGAAAAGGAGACAAAATATGAAAGATTACTGTTTTTTTTTACAGATAGGGAAGCACTGCAAGATCTTGATGCAAAGTTGAAAGAGGAAAGGAAACAAGCAGGAGAATTGGTATTTTCTTTTTAAGATTGATTTTCACAAATCTTTAATTTACCTATGAAAAAAAAACTTAATCAATGTCAAATTTCAAAAATGGCAATAATGATTGTGCTTTAGCAGTTGTTCCCAATTATACAATATCATCCACTGTTGTCTTCTTTACAGATTGATGATTTAAGACTTTTCTCTCTGATCATCCATTAAAATGGACCACAAAATGAAAAAAAATGGGTTGATGAGTATCTGAAACTACATTGTTTACACTCTTCAACAATTTCTAAAATGTTGAGCATAATATCAGTATTCAAGATAGTTGAACAAATGAGATTTGTTTTTCACTTTTAATTCTGATCATTTTTTTAAAGGTATGCCCCTTTTGGAGTTAGCAAAGATTTTTTTTCCATTTCAGTAATTTCCTTGAAGACTTAAACACTTAAATCATACTCCTTGATTAGCCTAATTGCTTTTACGTAAATCAAATACCTACAGGATCATCAGTCAGGAAACTGACTGCAGAGATTTCCTGTATTTTCTGCAGCACTCACAATGCATTGTATTTCTTTATTTTTCTTATTGCTAGAATCCTCAGTATCCACCCTAGCTTTTGGCATTATACAATTCTAGACTAGTTCTCTATGATGATGAAGTGTGAATGAAAAATAATTGTGAAATTACTACTGCTCAATCGTTCATGTGTATAAGCTGAGGTTTATAAGCTTACATTGTGGAGGTGTATCCAAAATATCATATGAAACAAATATTGGGATTGGTTAAACGTATACATTTGTGTAGAGTTATGTTGACAGCACCAAGCTTATGCAGAGTGGTGAACAATCAGCTTGACAAATATTTGCCACATCTTGTGTTGTAGCAGTTATGAAATGAATATGAAAAAAATTGCCATCTGCTGTGATGATGCCATCTATTTCTCAGACCACAAGAAATATTTAATATGAATTAAACCCCTGGTATTCAAACAAATCTGATAGATGGCATCATTAATCTGCAGATTGCAGAGAAAAAAAGAAAATTTGAAATGGTAGAAAAAAGGATGATAACATCACTCAGGATACTTGGAAACCTAAAAAGCTTTGGTTTGAAGAACCTTTATAGCTAATGAGCACAAGGTATTGCCACTAACAAATTCAGATGGACATCTTTTTGATGAACTAGCATGACTGAAGGATGAAAAAGACACTATAATCCTGTTGACACACAAAAAAGACAAGTTTTGTGATCTTAGTACTGGTCCTGGGGAGCTACATCCACTGAATATCCCAGGAAATCAAGTCACTAACTTTAATATGTGATTGCTGTCACCAAAAAGGTTGCAGGCATAAGGGCAACAAAGAATGTATATTCAACCTTACTTGAGTTATTAGACTAGTGATGGCCAGCTTCCATGATTTATTCATATAACTTGACCTGCACTTTTGACCATGCACACAACTTTGTTACACACCTGTAACTTCCTATTCTGACCAATCATGACTTTTGTTTCAAAGTATCTTTTCTGTGTTTCAGGGACTGTACTATGCTGCATGGTTTTTGTTTCACAGTAGAAAGTTTGACAAGGCCCGCGAGTATATTGACAGAATGCTCAAAATGAATACAACAAAAGATGTAAGTATGTTTCCTAAACGATCATGAGTTACTAATGGATATGATTTTTTATGCAATTTTTCTCTCATTCAAAATTTATGCTGTATTAAATTTGTAGCCCACCCTTTTCAGTTGGTTGACTGTTTAAATTTATTTTCTCGTGAACTTTCCATCCTTTGGCGATGCATTTTTTAAAACCAAAATGGCTTATAGGCAGTCACATTTTAAATTTGAGAATTCAAGTTTTTGGGGGTGTGTATAGAAAGGCACTTGAGGGAACTCTCTTTGTTTTCATATTACACCTATTAGTTATTAATGATTCCTAGTTTTACATATTGCTTTTAGAAAAGAACAAGAAACCAAGTTAACCAATGTGTGGTATACATCAGTTCATACACATTTTGCCTTTAAATTCGGCCACTAGGAACCACTAGGATTTCATAATTCTTTATACATGATGCTTTGTTAGGATCTTCTAGTAATATCAAATATATGTTTTCCTTTAAATTTTGAAATTGGATTTGAAGATAAATTATTTGAGATGAATACTAGAGACGCATTGGACACTACATCAGCAGTGCAAACCAATTTGGCTTCTACTTTCATCTATTTTACATTCTTTTTCAGGGTTTGGTGATGAAAGGCTGGGTTGAACTTAACAGTGGACGAGACCCGAAAAAAGCCATAAAGTATTTTGATGATGCAATAGCGTGAGTGTCTTCAAAATGTTTTTTCCCCCATTTTTTAAGAATGAATCTGTTGATATATTAACATGATAACTTGCCCAGAATAGTAGACAAGATTTCAACTAAATCTGACATAGGCAGTACTTTTGCATGTCAAGAGCTTGAATGGACAATTAGGAAAATTTGTTGAAGATTAAAAGACTAGTTTTCTTCAATATAAAAAACTTAAACTGTTACTCAAATTGGCTAGGAGTAAATCTAGAACAAGGGGCTTATGTTGAAAAAACTGTGAGTAAAGTGTGAGAAAAGAAGTTTTAACTAAGTTTAGGCTTGGCATATGGAAACGCCATAATAAATGAATTCTATAATTGCATATCTGCAGGATACGGTTTTCCAAGGGGCAAAGAAGCAATGCCCAACAGGGTATACCAGAATTAATCTTTTAGCTATTCAATGAGGAGATGTTCAGGATTTTAACTTTATCTGAAAAAGGTCATCAATTCTTAAGATTTAAATTTAAATGTTGTATTATTAAAGATGTGGTGTCAAGCTGTTTATGGGCAAAGTGAAAACATCCACTTAAATTTAAGCAAAAACAATTTCCATAGTAGAGAAATTTGTTGTAGATGTACAATTGCATAAAGAAAAATCAAGATAAGTTTTTTAAATCACCGACGTTTACTAAACCTTGGTATAATTTCCTTTATCCTGGCAGTAATGAAGGAGCCAGAGACATTGATGCCCTGTTTGGAAAAGCCAAATATTTTGAGGTACGTCATAACTATACAGGAGCACTGGAACTGGTGAATCAAGTGATTGTAGGGTATCCTGCCTTCATTCCCGCACTTGTGGAAAAGATGAAGCTGCAACTAGCACTCCAGGACTGGGATCAGACTGTAGAAACAGCACAGAGGTAAGGTTAATGCAGAAACTAAGTTACTGTAGTGGTAGTCGTGGTGGTATCTATGATGGTGGGGTCAAAGGATGGTCATTACAACCCCTAATGTCTTTAGTTGTACAAGTCATAGACAAGGAATACAGGGGCAAACGTAGGGATGACTGTTGGGTTGGTATCTGTGATGGTGGAAGCTATACAAAAATTATGTAAGGAATCTAAATAGGTCATAATACAGAATGTCAGAGATCATACAAGTTTTAGACAAGGGATACAGAGTGCAAAAGAAGGGATGAAGATCTGGCTGCTATCTGGTGGTGGAAACTGAAAGTATTCTGATGATGTTTTAAAGTGGTCATAGATGAAGTTGAGTTTTATGTGACAGTTTTAGACATTGTACAGTTTAGGTCAAGGGTTAAAGGTTAGGGTCAGGTCTGAGGTTATTGAATACCTTGAACTTAATTTTAAATTAAGCCTTTGATCATATATTGGGTTCATAAGTTAGATACACACATCACTTTAAGACTTGATTTAAATTATGGAAAATCTAACAAAGCTTAGGTCGAACACATGATATGTTGATTTTGATAATAAGAGTTTTTATGAGAGATGTTAAATAATTAGATTAGCTCTGTATAGGCTACAAATATATTGTCCTTTTGATAAAGGATAATGTTGAACACAAGGCATGTAACAAGGACAGATATTTCATACTGTGATTAAGAAAAGAAAAAATAGATATGAAATTTTTACTTTCAAACTTATACGATACAGAGCCCTTGGTCAGGACATGCACTGTTTGGAAGCTCTTAGGTACCAGACCCTTTATTTGTTGTGTCGAGAAGGAAATTATTCTGAGGTAAGTTGGCTCAGACACTTTTAATCAGTTGTATTAAGAACAAGAAGATCTGATATGGTAATAATAGTGACATTTACCTATTTTGGTGACTGTCATATTTATTTTACTCTCTGGAATAATAACCAGTTATTTTACTATCTCTTAATGTTGTAAATGTGAAGCATTGTATATGCGTGAAATTGACATTGATGGTGGAGAGCAAGATAATCACACATGCCTTGTTATTGGTTTTTATTACAAAGAACAATGCATTAGATTGATGTTTCTCCTTCAGTTTGTAAAACACAACTGATACCTTGTATATGAACAAGAATAATTGCATATTGTTGAATATAGTGATGTTTTTTTTTTGGTTTTGCTTTGTTTTTTTTTTCATTTGACTAATATCTACACATACATAACATACATATGTTTTCACAATAATTGACTGGTATATGAATACTGTATTCATTCTTAGTGTAAGGGAGACTACTTTGAAGAGTAAATGTATGTTAATAGGACTGCAAGTGTTAACCCAGCAGTACAGATTTTGGTGTTAAGATCACAAAATTTTCACTGAGTAGATAACCATGTTCAAAATTTGTCATGCCTCTTAACCTTAATAAAATCTTAAAAAAGTAATGTAATTTCAAAAATGAAAATAATGACACACTCCTTAGAACTGTTCAATTAAAGATTTGTAGAATTAACAAGCATCTGCCAGAAAATTCTTTAAAACAGAATGTGGATAGACAATTTATCTACAATATTAACCAGTCATGCTTTGTGTTTTGTGAATTTTACTTTTTACTGGTTTTTACAAACAGCTTAATATGAAAATGTTTCAGGCTTCAACGAAACTTGGTGACATAATCACAACATTGGACAGATCAGAACCAAGGAGTGCAAATCTCTATCACAGTATGGCACAGACTTTCTGTAGAATAGTAAGTATAGCTGGCACATATGTCATTGCTATCATATATCATTGTAAGTATATATAGACAATTTGTAGGATGGAAAGTATGGCTAACTGATATGTAATGGCTGTCATATAATATAAAAAACAAGGTTTTCCCTGACTCTAAAGAACCTGCACTTTGACATGTTAAATTGACAAAAGACCCTCAAATTTGATAGTTTTACTCTATATCTGAAACCTTGATAAGGTACAGACATTCTGTAAGGTAGTATGCATGTTCAACAATTAATATTTATAAATTTATAACTAACATTTATAAATAAATCAAGGCTATCTACAGTCTTGTATTATAGCTAGATTCAAACTCATATTTCTTTGTTTCATAAAAGTTACAGCCATTCCATTTGGAGAATCCAGGTCAATTCATCAAACCACAGAAATGAGATGAGCAGCTATTTCTCTTGCACCCACTATTCATACACATTTTCTATGGTGTAATTGAATAGCAGCTCTTGATCAAACCCCATGTCCCTTTATATATTGTGGAATGCTGTATATATTGCAAGTCATATTTGATACAATTATTATTGTTACCAATATACAGAGGAAGTCTTCATGAAATGTTCAATATAAGAATGAAGGTACATTTTCTATTGTGGTGATGTTATATTAGTATGAGTTTGTATATTATAAAAATTTTCCTTTTGTATTTGTTCACTACTTACATATAATCACATGATCAGGGAAAGTTACAAAACTTAATGTGTCCTGTTTCAGTGTGGGAGGAACCAGCTGGTCTTACAGCAAACTTACACATTAATGGAGCGATGTGTCCAACAGAGTCCGGACACAGCTGACTATGTCAACGAGCTTGGCTTCCAACTACTGCTGCAGGGCAAGGTAAAGGATGCCATGAGATGTTACAGGAATGCCATGAAAATGGATGAAACTAGTGTGGCTGCTCTCACAGGTAAATGTGTGCTTGATAGGATTTTACAAAAGTAAAATGCATTCCCATGTAAGATTTTACCCTCACAGGTAAAATGCATTCCCATGTAAGATTTTACTCTCACAGGTAAAATTCATTCCCAGGTAAGATTTTACTCTCACAGGTAAAATTCATTCCCTGGTAAGATTTTACTCTCACAGGTAAAATGCATTCCCATGTAAGATTTTACTCTCACAGGTAAGATTCATTCTCTGGTAAGATTTTACTCTCACAGGTAAAATGCATTCCCATGTAAGATTTTACTCTCACAGGTAAAATGCATTCCCATGTAAGATTTTACTCTCACAGGTAAGATTCATTCTCTGGTAAGATTCTATGATCACAGGTAAAATGCATTCCCATGTAAGATTCTATGCTCACAGGTAAAATGCATTCCCATGTAAGAATTTACCTTCACAGGTAAAGCGCATTGTCATGTTGGGTTTTAACGTCATAGATAAAATGTATTATGTATTCTGTGGTAAATTTTACTCTCTCTGGTAAAATAAGGCTGAACTGTCACTAGAAAAATTAAAGCTGAAAATCCAGTTTGATTTTCAACCCACACAAATAAGTCTTGAACCCCAGATAGCTTATCCAAGTTTGGGTTCTGCCCTCACAGCTAAGACCAAGTTGGAATCCTAGTTTGGTTTCTGGTTTCAATACTGGTAGATCCCATTGATGTAAAAAAAAAATGCAATATTTGGGGGGGGGGGGGGGGAATGTACTGTTTACTGAAGGTATTCATGTACACCTGAAATCATAAGTGTAATGTAATACCAGGTATTTTCATAACAAAATCACTGTAAATAGGCAAGAAATGATGTGACTGTTTCTCAATTGTGACATCATAATGTAATTCTGTCATCTACTTGTGATTTGTCATATATAATAGTGAAGGTCATTGATTTTGACCAAGGTGACACAAATTGTGATCAATTTTGGAAAATTCAGTCAAACCTACCTTTAGTTAGAGGTCTCTTTTTATGTATAATGAAAAACTCTGAAGATTTAAAGCTCCTGGTTTCAGATCTCAATGGACACATCCCTATGAAGGCCACTTTTCTATGTTACCTTAGGGGGGGGTGGCCTTTTTAGATAGGTCTCATTATATTGTAAAAAAAAAAGACATTAATTGTTTTATGAAGATTTATACTATTTGGAATTATTTTCCATTCTGTATAATTATCAGGTTTGGACTTTCTTCACTTTTCTTTAATTAGTGATGCATAGTGTGTTAGAAATGAAACATATACACTGATTTGACAACCTCCTATAAAAAAAATTATCATTCACAGCATCTGTTTATGTGATTATAATGAACTAATAAAGATGTAATCTTGGTTACTTGAAGCAAAAGAACTCTTCCCATCATGAAATGATCTTTGTATGTGACACAGGAATCATTCGATGTCAGCTTCTTGAAGATCAGTTGGATGAAGCAGCTCAACAGCTAGAGTTCCTCAATGAGATTCAGCAGAGCATTGGCAAGTCAGCTGTAAGTTATTGCCTGTGGGTGTGATATAAGAAAATTACGTATCTCAGCTATTATAACTCCTGTTTTTAGTGTTTGTGTTAATGTATATTAGGTACATTGTTTGAAATAGGATTGTAATTACATTATTTGAAGATGTTGATTTATTATACAGTTGAAACCCATTGTCTCGAAATCGCTTGAGTCGAAATTCTGTTTCAGTCAAATAATTTTCAAATAGAAAGTAGAATTTAATTTATTTGTTTATTTACTGCCATTTCAAAAAACAGATTAAACTACACTGCTTTCTTCCTGTCGTAGCCGTACTTTGTACAACAGTAATCAACGTCAGGAAACTGATATCGTCAACCTTATCTATACACTTCGTTTGAGTAAAAATCCAGATAAGTCGAAATATTTTCCACAGTCCCTTGAATTTCGAGATAACAAGTTTCAACTGTACTTCTGTATATTTACTCGCTGGAGAGCTAGAAATATTCTTCTACTACACTAAACACTTGTCACTCTTTATAATGAGTGTGATTTTCTCAAGATGGTAAAATGTATAATTTATAGCATTTCCACTAGACTAGATATTATTCCAATAGGCTGACTAACTAGTCCCCAGTATAAAGTATATTTTGAGGTTAAACATCTAACATAGATAGTTTACTACCTAATTTTAAGCATAATATGTGATTTCTTTAATTTCTTTAATCTGGCTAATTCTTTCATTTCTGCATATAATGTCACATGTGAAAAGACTGGAGTGGTTTTAAATACAGAAATTAAGAGGTGCTATTGTAGAACAGATGAAATAATTAATCACAATATTAATCAGGATTGTTCTTAACTCACACACAGGAACTAGAGAAGGTAATAGTAGCACAGGTCATCTGTAGTATTATATAATGTTTTTTCAATAGTATTTTTATGTAGTTATTAACTTGGTATAATTTTACCTTTTATTTCTAGTTCACTTGCTTGAAGGACAAAGTCACTAATTCATTTACTTACAATATGATCATCAAAAATATGAATTGGTCATTTCATTTTATGGCATTTTCCACCTGTTTTCATGATCTCTTTGATATTTAGTAGGCTTTATCATTAAGACAGGATGTTGTGTTTTCCTGAATAGCATTTTGATTTAACAGGTTTGGAGTTATTGTCCTTCGCTCTGGTCACATCTGATGGCTTTTGACTAATCTTTTTTAACTTGGTAGATTTTATAACCATGACTTAGGGCTGTGTTATCTTGAACAATATTTTGATTGGAAAATTTAGGAATAGTTATTGTTTTTGCAGGTTTCTTTTCTAATTTTTCATTTTGTCAAGAGATCGCTGTCCTTTTTAACAATCTATTTGAAACTTGTTAAGGTCTATTACTATGACCTATGGTTGTGCTTTTGAATTTTGAATTACATATTTTGTTTGATCCTGTTTGCAAGAGTTATTGCCCTTGTTTTTCGGTACTTTGTATGGTGATTTGCTCTTTCAGGTCTTCACCAATGGCTTTCAAAATTGGTAGACTTTATCATCATAACACTGAAGTTGTGTTTTCCTCAAATAGAAACCTTATTTTAAAAATGTTTGCAAGAGTTCTTACCCATTGTTCTTTTGAATTTTGGTCTTGTCCAGAGGTCACCTCCTTCAACTGAACTGTTCTTTTTTAAACTCAGTAGGCTTTGTTTATTTACAGGAGCTTATGCTTTCTCACTGGCATTTTTTTATTGTACATTTATTGATCTTTTCTTAGACTAGTACTTACCTAATGCTGACTGTTCATCAATTTTGTTTTCCATTCCTTAAATGACTTTTGATTTACTTCAAATTGATACAGTTGTCAATAAGTTAATTTTTTCAAAGTATCTGGAGACCAAATGAATTTTTGCCATTTAAGAATAAAATAATGAATAAAATCTCTGAAAAATATTATCTGAAATTTTCAAAGACACCAAAAGTCAAAATTGCTTATAATGACATTTCATATTTATTTATACAAGTCTGTCGTGCCACCCTGTCACATCACAGCATAATAAAAAACACTACATTGTCATAGACTTCACCTTTCACACTTAAACACAATTCTTAAAATTTTAAATTTAAATTTCATTTTGATACAAATTCAAGTGGACATGTGTGTTGTTATCTTGGTTGATAATGCATAATTATTAATCTGGTAATCTGCTTACATCTCAAAATCATATTTTGCAGATTTTGACTAAAATACTTTGTTTGATGTCATTATTCTGAGCTATATACCATACAAATCATGTAGTCAGCTTAGGAGCCAACACACAAGTGGAGTGAGCTTTTAACAGAATAATGAAACTGTATTTTTGACATATACAGAACTCAAATACTTTAAAGTAATCATGAATGAATAAAGCTTTATCAATCTACTTAAACTTATTTTAACATAACATGCAAATTTGTAGATTAAGAATGCCCTTGAAATCAATGAAAACAAATTCCCATGAAAATCAATGAATTTACTATAGATATTGATGAGCTTGTAGTGAGAAATGATCTTATTTCTGGATAAATACAATAAGTCAATATTAAACTGCTTCAAATAGTTGAATATGTTTTGTTTAGGTTGTAATTTTTTAATAATTATATCTCAGATAGTAACTTCAACACCCAGAAGCTATTATTTGATCACACATATAATTTTCTACCAATGATCCACCATTTCTGTTTGTACTCCTATAATCCACCATTTATGTGTGCACCCCAGCTTAAATTCTCTTTTTTTTTTTGTCCCTTAGGAGCTGTCATATTTGAGTGGACTGTTAGCAATTAAGCGTCGCCAGGGACCAGAGAAAGCTATTGAACTGCTTAACTCTGCCATTGAAGTCCACTTTCAGGGACTGAAGGTGAGAAATGACTTCAACAATTTTGTAAATTCGGTGCTGTTAGTGCTGATGAATCAGAGACATTCCCATGTAGTTTTCCTCCATTCATTTTGGAACACTGTTAAAATATTTCACCTCTGTATGATATAGACAGAGTTATCTCAACTTCAGGATAAGAGAATTAATTCTTTGCCTACTCAGTTTGCTTATCCGAGCACTTGGCTTGAGTGCTCGCTTTGATAACTGGATGATTTATGACTGTATGGTGCTTATAATGATGACGTGAATTTGCTGCTATTTATTATTTGAATTATTCTAGTTCTTTTCTTTGTATGCACAAAAGTTCTACTTATTCCTGTTTTCTTTTGACAATAAATTGTACTCAGTTACAAAGGCATTTAATAGGTTTTTCGTATTTTCAATTCTGTTTTTCTCATCATCAATGCCTTAAAAATTGAAAGTAGAATCTGAGTTTACCATTCTGTTGTCAGTGAAAGCCACCTGGCATAAACCAGCTGATTTCTGAATATTGCATAGTTTGAATAGAGGGATATGCTTCGAAGTCATGAAGATATCATCATTTATGTTTGATCTTCATAATCTGTTAGATAAACCTTTTGTTAGCCATTTCCTATATATATGACAATGATTCACTGAGGAGTAAGACAAACAGGTTTCATGACTTCTCAAGAAGTTATAAAGGAAAGAAGGTATGTTTACTGTGATGTCTCAGACATCATGAAGGAAATGGGAACACTTTTTTGTGACATCTTAAAACATCATTAGTACAGAAAGAGTTAAAGTTCAGCATGAAGCTTTTTCAGTGGTTTTTGTGTTTTTGGGATTTTGAAAATTTATCCTCCAACTGAGCTTCAAGTACAGAAAGCCATTTAATGTGCTAAAAGTTTGTTTGTTACACCTATAATTGTTGTGATAATTTCTCTCACATGTTATTCACCTCATGCTTGTTTTTACAGGGATTCCCTCTTGGAAACCATTATTATCTGCTGTTAAATCCTGATTTCCTACTTCAAATCATCAAGGACTACCTCCAGTTTGCTCCCCAAACGGTAGGCCATGTTGAGTTTTTTGGTAACTGTTTTTTAATTGGTTTGTATGTGATTGTTTTAAAATGCAAATATACAGCAAGTGACCTTTTTGTTATATCAGTATTTTATTTTTTTAAGAAGCAATTAATTACTAAGAAACATACTCTTCTTTTTAAATGTGCTCTTCTATATAATTGGCAATATTTTGAGTCCAGCTTCAGGTGCTGGGCTGTTCAAATCACCCTTCAACCAATGTCCACCCTTAGATAATTCTATAAAAAGAAATAAAAGGAAAGGATCAAAGTTACAATTAACCAAAATATCATACAATGGTACAAGGGTGCTGAGATCTCTCTTTGTAACTAAGTAATATGGAGCCCTCATATGATTAAGGGATAGTATCATACGCTTGTTTTTATACATATACTGGACATAAGGTCATGAATTTTGGTTTGTCTTATGTTAAAAGAACAAACTTGATGATGTAATCTCAAGTGCATGCATAAAAGCAAGCATACTATCCACATTGTAAAATTATTTGAGTCAAAAAGTGTTGTGATTATCACAATTTCAATGAAATTCAACAAAAAACAAGATCTGCACAATTTTGTTTAAAATGGTACCTCACATTGTCTTGGCTCCTTTTCAACCCTTTACAACGTAGAAGCTCTGCCCACATTCCAGTCAAGTTGTTGATAGTTTCGGATCAGGATGTAGATTGAGGGATATGAAAAAACTTTAAATATCTGTTTTCATGGATTGTCTGTGTAAGTTATGGTTCATATTGATTCCTAATATACATACCCTAAATTTGTCGTGTCTATTTCTTAAGGGTAAAAGTATTTGTTCTCTAAAGTAGATTGATAAACAGTGGACATTGGGGAGAGATCATAACATACAAAGTTGTTAGTGCATTTCTTTCAAATGGAGATTGGGATTTATGTGTCATTCTCTATAGAATTATCGAGTAAAGGTAGGAGACAATACCAGGTGATATAATTTCATTTCCGTATGATTTTATTGACTGAAATTGATCCCAGGATTGAGAATATCACCCACTATGACAGTTATCATCTTTATCGCCATTCTTACATCAGGTCTACTCTCAAACTCACTTGAAGCAAAGGAAACTGAACTGGAATATGTCACAAAGATCATCATTATCATGCTCCCCCCTTCCTATTCCGACTACATATTTTAGTATGTCATTACAATGAATTTCTTGTCTCATCTCAAAAGGTGGCCTGTCATCTTTGAGCTTGCATCAGAAATCAGAATATCAGGGAATAGATCTTGAAAATTATCCAATGCAAAACTGTGTTAATGATTTGAAATAAGGTAGGTTTTTAAAAGTATGAACTGTCTTATTGCATGATGTGTTCTATAAATTATCTAGCCACCTCAGACTGGTCAAGCAGTGAGTCCTATACTAAAACGTTGCAACCAAGTGTTGGACCCGCTAGCCAGAGCAGTGCCTGGTTTACTAGAGGCTCTCTACTATTTAGGCAGGATCAAGTTTCTCCAAGGTAGGTATCTTCAACTTTGTTACATAACAAAGTTGTCTTGGAACAAAATTCTTGCATACAATTAAAAAATAAGTGATCACTGATCACATTTGTTTTGTACTTCTCCGAATGTTTCCATGAACAGAATTACATGGCTATAGCTACTTATTTTCTTGCTTTTCTCATCAGGATATATATTTTGTGGTACAATTTAAGATATAAAATGTGCTTTTTGTAATTTTAAGCTAGTGAAATGTATTAGAAAAGAAGGGAAAATATTGATATTGATGGCACTTTTTGTTACTGTATCAAGCAAATGTTTATATTTATCACTTTATATAGGAGATATTGATGTGTCCTGGGACGCTACGCCTAGCTAATGTATCTATGTGTTGTGTAGGGGATATTGATGGTGCCCAGGGTCTCTGTGTCAAGTAAATGTATCTGTGTGTTGTGTAGGGGATATTGATGGTGTCCTGGCACGCTATGCCTAGCAAATGTATCTTTATTTGTTGTGTAAGGGATATTGATGGTGCCCAGGGTCTCTGTGCCTAGTAAATGTTTCTATGTGTTGTGTAGGGGATATCAATATGTGTTACATATGTGATATTAATGGTGCCCAGGGTAACTGTGTTAAGTAAGACTTTCTATATGTGATATATAGTAAATATTGATGGAGCCCAGGGTCACTGTGTTGAGTAAGACTTTCTATATGTGACATATAGGTGATATTGATGGAGCCCAGGGCACGTTGAACCACTGTTTGGAAGTAGACACCACCTTCTCTGATGCACACATTCTCATGGCACAGGTCAGTACTACAATACACAGTAAAATTATTGTCACATCTAAATATCTTTGTTTTACAAAATTCCCTTTCATAGCTTTATTATTCTAGTAATGAATACATGATATTTAAATTTTGAAATATGATGCAATGGAAATTTAATGTCACTGATACTTTCACTTTGGAGTGATTTCTTTGCCTTTAATTATGAATTTACTCATGAAAAAAGGGGAAGAAAACCAGCAAAAATCTAATCTTTTTATTTACTTTTTTAATGTTCTATTTCTGACATCATTTTATGTATTTTTCTTCCTTGTTTATGATAGATTCACCTTCATCAAAGCAACTTCAAGTTGGCTAACCAATCACTTGAAGTAGGACTCAGCTATAACTTTGAGGTAAGTTTAACTTAATTATGAGCAGTAGAAATGAATGTTGTGATTACCTCCACACATTTTAAAAGTAATGATGTAATAAAATGTATTCATCATTCACATGCATTTTTGTGCCTCTAAATGCTTTCATTGTTAATAGAAGCATCTGTGACCTATATTTTGACATTTAATGTCGCTCAAAGACTTTCCATTGCTGGAACATCTGTATTATATTGCATAACTTGACATCCAAAATCAGTTTAGTCGAGCATCACCCTGGTAACCAATTAATATTTAAATGTATCTTCATTTAAAAATTAAATTTGATGATGATATAGGACTATATAAAAGTCAAGAAAAAAATAGGAAGTACTTAAGGTAATTGTTTTAGAAGATGTATCTAACATAGTGTTCAGTCACTCTGACAGGTGACATATTCTTTACCAAATTCTGATTTTGCTCTCTCTGTGTTGTTATTAAGACACCATTCATTTCTTAATGATAGTAGTATAAACTAGTATACTTCAGCAGTAATGATAAACATTGTTTGACTTCTATACCAGGTACGAGACTCTCCACTGTACCATCTCATCAAGGCTCGCATTCTCAAGAAACAAGGAGAACATGCTGAGGCTGTTAAGACACTACAGATGGCCATGACTTTACCAGGAGTCAAAACTATGGGTGTGTAATGCAACTTTTACTGAATAGAGGTCAGATCAGAAGTCATTTCCACCAGTGTGATTTGAGCAGTTATTCACATGTATCTTTAAGCCATCATAAAAAAAGTTATTAATCATCACAATATATGATATAAAATGTCCTTTTTAGAAAGCCTATAGATTATATATAAAAAAAAAATCACTCTTAAGCATGACACCAGTGTGTTTCTTCTGTACAGGTAGAGGAAATGTTCCCAAGAAAGGTAAAGCCACAGCGATCAGTGTCAATGACAGAGTTTCTGTGTTCTTAGAGCTGGCAGAAGCTCATCGGCTACTAGGAGAACAGGTATGTCAAACTAAATTAAAGAGCATAAGCAAGAAAGAATGCCACATTTGAATTGAATAAACTCAAAATATTATACTCTGTTGGAAAATGTTTTTTTTATAATAACATGACAGCTATCTTGTATTCTTGTCGTGATAAAGTTCTGAAATATCTATGTATTTGTTATTTAAAGCATGAGGCCGCCAAAGTCATGCAGGATGCTATCAATGAATTCAATAACACACCGGAGGAAGTACGGATAACTATAGCCAATGCTGACCTGTCATTAGCCCGTGGTGATGTTGAAATGGCACTCGGCATGCTCAGAAATGTGTCTTCAGATCAACCCTATTACGTCCAGGCTCGTGAAAAGATGGCAGACATCTACCTGGTTCACAGAAAAGACAAGCGTCTGTATGCTAGCTGTTACAGGTAAGAAACTGTTTGAACAAACTATAATGTCTGTGTTGTAGCTGTTAAAGGTGAAAAGCTCTTCTTAAAAGACTATAAGGTATGTATACTAGCAGTTACAGGTGAGAAATTGTTTAACTGTTTCAGCTAAAAGATTTAAGAATAGCCAATTTTTTGCTCATAACATTTGAAAAGTATTGGTATTTTTCTGGATAATGTTTTAATGATAGTGTTTTGATACTGCTTTCTGTAAACAGAGAACTGATGGACAAGCACCCTAGTCCTCACACCTGCCTGTTGCTAGGTGATGCCTATATGAGCATTCAGGAGGTATGTATCTATCAAGTCAGCAGGGAAGTTCTCTAGGAACTTTTATAGCTAATTAAAGGAATTTTACCTCTCTGTTCTAATGGTTGTGATTTGTCATTAACTGTTTTATTCATTTTTAATCTGTACTGTATAGATCTATGTACAGTAGCTAGGAATGTCAGACAGTGAAGATATGTTTGATGTCAATGCAAGTGGAATCCTGTTAAAAAAATGTGTTAATGACTGCTCACTCAATATTAATGAAGAGGTGTACAGCTTCAAAGTAGTAGTCATGTATTATAAACAGGTTAGATGCCTTCTCAAGTCTTGTTTGAATAGTAACAAACCCCCCTTTGTCATAACAAATGTTTAAATGTAACCTCTGTCAACAGCCAGAAAAAGCCATAGAGGTATATGAGTCAGCTCTGAAGAAAAATCCACGTGATGCACAGTTAGCCAGTAAGATAGGACAGGCACTTGTCAAGACCCATAACTACGGAAAGGTAAGGGAGATAACCTGCATGGTCAGTAGCAAAAGGATCAGAACAAAACGTATCATTGATTCAAAAGATCACAAAGTGCCTGAACAAAATATGTAAAATTTCAAGATCCTGTGGAGGATCATACTTTTACAGAAGTACAGACAGACAGATGTCAAATGATAAGCTGATATGTAGGAACAAGTTCTAGTTAGGAGATTCCTGAATACATGGTTGAAACAGGTAAAATCACATTGTAATTAGATAGACATCAGACAAAATAAATCTAATTATTAAGTTTACTTGTATACTTATGAAATGGAGGAAAGTATCAGAAAAACTATGTTAATTGACCCCTGTCAAAAAAAGACATAAGCAGAAGGTGTGATGTTTGTTGTATATCAGGAAGCTGTACTTATTTTACAGGCTATCAACTACTATGAGGCTGCCCTGAAGAGTGGAGGACAGGCCTTCCTCAGGTGAGTGATAAATTATTATTTAATATACACTATAAATCTGGTTTAATTTATACTCAATATCTGATGAATGATTACATGGTCTTCCATGGGAAAAAATACAAAATAGGTTAAAGTATCACAGACAAATCAGCTGTGTGGCTGCCTCGGTAACGGGTCGTTATAAATAGGAATTTAGATTGAAATTTACATATGCATACAAATGTTTTTGTAAATTTGTAAATCTGTTCAAAATACAGTGTCAGTACTATAAATCTGCACTTTGCCAATTACAGCTTCAGTACTCTAAAACTGTATTTGGCAAATGACAGAGAGTGGGAAGGGGTGGCAGTATTTGCCATTGGCTTACAGTTCTAGTTGTAGTAGGTCTAGATATCCATGGTATTGTAGTATGCTTGATATAGGTCTATATCTAGTGGTAGCCTGTGCACTTCAAAGCCTATCTATATTTGTAGTATGAATTTGACAATACTTCCTATTTTTGTATTACAGACATGACCTGGCTGAGTTGTTACTGAAATTAAGACAGTATGACAAGGCTGAGAAAGTTCTCACAGCAGCCTTACAACAGGACACAGGTATTACATCATTATTACTATACAGTACAAGATTACATACTGAGATCTGCACTACAGCTATGTGCTGACACTCCTTCATAGCATATATACTTTAGGAAGATGGAGTCTTTGATTAATCTGTGTATATCTGAGATCACTTTATCTCTGTGGTTGAGGATTGATATTCTGTAACAAAACAGCATTCTAAACTTTCCCTGAAATGATTTGTCACAGAATATCTTCCCCTGACTGTCATAATTCAATCTTTAACATATACAGTATATAAATTCTTCTAATTGTATGTGACAATTTACATATACATTATGTTAACTATTTTCTTTCTAAGTTTTTAGTTCACTTGAGGAAAGAAAATTGATATGCTGACCCACTTCTGAACAGTGTGGCTTCATTTGTATTTTAAAAAATCTGCTGTTAACATTATAATCTCTGTGTTGAGTTAAAAAAAAACCAGTGATGCTATTAGAACTGAAGAGACTGTTAAAGCCAGTGTGTTTTTCCTTTGATTTGGCACACTTATGTGTTAGATATGTCAGTCATGGATAGATATTTTGATTATTTTTACCTTATTTAAATTACAAAATTTTGGGTTCAGAAGTGTATCTGAGAGTAGAAAAAATCAAATAATAACGTCTACAGATATTCTCATAATGAAAGAGTATCTCAATGCTTTAAGATGGTTAAGTTGGAACAACTGGAACAACAGGTTCTAAATAAAACTGAAAGAAACATTTGATGAAATATTCTTCACTTCAGTGATTCCCATAATACTTTGTTTATGAGTAACTATCAGTTTAAAATCCCATTCATAGAGACTTTTCCTAGCAACAGAAGTATATATTATGGAGAAGCATGTGAGATTTCCCTGTCTGATGTATGAGAAATGATGTTTTCCACCATGTTTTGTTGTTTAAGAGTTTCCATAAAGACATTTTTAAAGAGTTACTAATCAGGATAATTGCTGTTTCTTCTGTTTGTGTGCTGGATTTATTGCCTGTGAACAGTCAGGGTTATTTTGAGGAGGGGTTGCCCTGTAGTAAGCTAGAAGCCTCCTAAATGAACAATGTACAGTAGGACACATGCCATTCTGAGCAATTGGGGTAAAATCAACACAGACTGGTTTGTTTCTTTGCTTCCTGACAAATACAACCCAGAAGGAGCATTGAACAATACACCTCTGATCTTCACCTAAAGATATGCTTTATATTTAAATGTTTGCAAAGTACCTGACAGAATCGGGAAGACTTGACTGCTTGTTAGATTTATCGGTTTTATATACGAGAATTTAAGTTTTGTGCTTCAAGTCTGATATCCCATTGTGATATTTACTTACTGTTATTTATGCTCCTTCTTCTTTTATGAAAAAAAAAGTGTGTGAATTTAATGTTACCTTTTTATGATCTATGTTTTGCACACAGAGACAGATGTATTAAATCAAGTAATTGATAATAGTGTTTTGTTTAAAATTTTCTTGATCACTGACCTTGTCCTATAGGTGGTGATATTGACCTGATGATGGAGCACACTAAGTACATGGTTTTGCTGGCTAAGGTGTATCAAAAGGTGGACAGGCTGGAGGAGGCGATGGACTCGCTGACCAAGGCCCGCGACATGCAAGCAAGGTACTATTCTCACTGGTACATTAGACAAATTTCTGATATATGTATAATTATATAGTCATACTATAGGTATACAAACTTACTTACACATACGTCATAGATACAATTACATTATATAGGAACTGCAGAGATCCCCAACATATTGGCATACATAGTCTTGTCACAGATGTAATAATTTTCTTGAGTTCTTGAGGATAGCTTGCAGGAATAAAAGAAGAGACTGTGAAGTATTTTGTAAAAAAAAACATTCCATACAGTCCACACTATTAATATTGTCTTTTGAAAGGAATAAAATAATGTATATTGATACATAGAGTCATCATTATATGTTTAAAACTGTACAGCCCACTTTTTTTATATCTACATTAAAGATACCACAGATAGCCCTCTGTGCTAGTGTCAAAGTTTGGATTGTCATTTCAGAGTTCTAAAGAGAGTACAGGTGGAGCAGCCAGACACGGTACAAGCACAGAAACAGCTGGCGTCAGAGTAAGTACACCTAAAATGTAGTGAATGTTGATGTTCAGCTCCATTAACTAATGAATGCTGGTGTTGTTAGGCAGACAGGTATGTAATGCCGATTTTGTTTCTATTGTAACAGTATCTGTGTACAGATGGCTGAGCAGACCACACAACAGCGTGACTATGACAAAGCCATCAAATTCTATAAGGAAGCGCTCGTCTACAATGATAATGACAGCAAGGTATGTCACACTGTAAAAGCGTTTTCAAAAATTACAGCAACATAGAACAATAAAAGTGTCTTGAATACTGCTGACACACTGTTTTGTCATTGTGTAAGTACCATGGTATTCTTATAAAATTACACTGTATTAACCCACATGATAGGAGTTGTTTGAAGTTGCTGAATTCCATTCTTCACCAGCATTTTTGTTTTAATGTGTCTCAAACGTGCCAGAGATGGAAAACTATAGTATTGCATATATATGTAATATATTTTGATTTATTGAAGTCAAAAGCTAGTATTATCCTTTTCAATATTTATAAGCAATGATTAATTTGTGTTACCTTAATAATAGCTATAAGGTATAGGAACTACATTTAGTGCATTTATATTTTAGTGTAACACTTTCAGCACTGAAATTGCAATATGAAATAACATTACTGAACAATGTACATTAACCATAATACACAGTTAAAATTTTTATTTGATTGGATTTTGATGAAAACAGTGGATAAGTATGCAATTCTTGAGACAAAGACAGCAGAGGAATATAATCATTAAGTAAAGTATGATTATAAATAATGGGATAAAGGTCACATATGCTGTGATTTTCCTGAAGATGTGTTGTTCAGCTAAAGGTTGATTCATTGTAGGTGATGCTGGATGTAGCTGGACTTTACTTAACCACAGAAGACCTTGACTCATGCCAACATCAACTCATGACACTCCTCAAAAACGAAAAAGAAAATGATGCAGCAACAATAGTAAGGATGTATGCTTGTCGAAGAATATAACCAATCATGTCAGAACGATTACAGTTTTCACACATCATGCTTTCATGTAACCTGGTTTATATGGTTCAGATGATCCTGCTTTATGCTGAAATTCTGAAAAATAATGATAATCAGCAAGTTAGTTTCGAACAAGTACTGGACTCCTCAATCTGCACATGCCAAATATTCCGCACTACAGCCTCGGTCCCGATCTTTACCTGGCGTTTTTCCTGCAGACACAAGCGGTCCAGACATTTCAATTGCTTACGCAAAAGCAACTCATGTCTTTTCATGTTTTATATAGTCCTTTACCTGAGGTGTATAATCATGATTAAAGACTTATCTGTATGAACGATTTTCTTTATAATATTCCCTGCCACACTTTTGAGGAGTGAAGGGCCCTGTGGATGGAGTAAGAGGCTTAAGATTTGAGAATGCTTTTATTTCATAATTCCAAAATTTCAGGAATATTCACTGTTGGTAGTTCAGGAAATACCGGTAATGTAAAATAGGGGACTTTTCTTGCAAGTCCATTTATTGTAAGGTATTCATAAGGTCCTAACCTGCAACAGAAACAATCTGCTGACTATTAAATAGTCATATTTCAGACATCATTTCAAAATATTATTGTGTCTGTCTAATCAAATTATAAAGGTTTTTTCCTTGTATATCTATTTACCAGGAGAGCTTCCTGGTAATCAAAATCATCAGAATGATTAAAGTAAAGCTACAAAGAGTACAACATGCAAAGTATTGACGTGATGTTGGTCAACCTTATACCATTTTCTTGTGAACTTATGTGTCAATCCACATTATCACTGGGTTAAAGGGTGGTTATAATGTAGAATTAAGTATATTGATATCTGGAAAGCCTTTGTTTAAAAAAAAAAAAAAGAGATTGCTATGATGACAAATTCTGTTATAAGGTGATTTTTGTCCGAACAGATGCTGGCTGACCTGATGTTTAGGAAGAATGAATATGACTCAGCCATGTACCATTTCCAGCAACTTCTCACACTTAAGCCAGGTATGCCTCTAGTCAGGGTAGCTATTCTTTATTACACACAAGCCAGGTATGCTTCTAGTCAGGGTAGCTATTCTTTATTACACACAAGCCAGGTATACCTCTAGTCAGGGTAGCTATTCTTTATTACACACAAGCCAGGTATGCTTCTAGTCAGGGTAGCTATTCTTTATTACACACAAGCCAGGTATGCCTCTAGTCAGGGTAGCTATTCTTTATTACACATAATCTATTTATTATGACCTGACGTCACACTATAAATTCTGATGTCTTGTCTTTAGAAACGGTCTAAGTTACATTCCTTATATAGATGTGAAAATTGAATTTTCATTGAAATGGGGAAAGATGACAGCATTGGTTTGTTATCTGTTAGGAGGGTATATAAACAGATTTTATTATGATGGATATATAAACATTATTCTTACTGTACAGATGTTTCAGCAGCTGGCAGATAAAGCCAATGCTGTGTTTGTAAGTGCATAACTAAATAGCAGTGAAGACACAAATGTGTCAAATTTCACTAGTCATATTTTGAGGAGTTTGTTCTGATATTTCCAGTGTTCTCTGTACATATCTTCTTTCGGACATATGTACAGGTAGATGATTGAAAATATTGTGTATATTTACAGACCACTATGAAGCACTTTCCAGACAAATTGACCTGATGAGAAGAAATGGTAAATTAGATGAGGTACCAAAGTTTCTAGAGCAGGCTGAGAACGCATCGGCTAGAGCCACTATGGATGCTGGTTATAACTATTGTAAAGGACTGTATGAATGGTCAGTTTATAAGGAGTTTACCTCTTACAGACAGCTCTATATTACTAGACTTGTGTTTCATGTGTTAGCCTTCAATCACTGCAATCCATGTAGAAATGAGAAGTTCTCATTAATTCTATCAGAACAAAAGAATGTTTAATGAATAATTAACATTCCTTTAAAGACCCCTGATAATGTTGATAGTTCACCAACACGTCACATTTTCACACATGATTGTTAAAACATACAAATGGCTAGAAATACTTTAGACCTTGTTAGTTGTGTTATCTCTCCGAGTCTCTATATACCTGGTATTACAGGCTGTTAAACACATGATTGTTAAAACATACAAATGGCTAGAAATACTTTAGACCTTGTTAGTTGTGTTATCTCTCAGAGTCTCTATATACCTGGTATTACAGGCTGTTAAACACAATATGCAGCAATAATGCTACCATGATAATGTTTGTTGTTTTGTTGTAGAAATCAAATAAAAGAAGAGCACCAACTTAGGCAACAAGTTGTAGAAGAAAGTGAAATACACTATTGGCCTGCCTGGCTTTAGGAGTTGGTGCCCGTTTTTTATTTGTTTACTACTTTTTTAAGAGACCTCTGTATACCTCTTGGTATCTTCCTGAAGCACGACACACATATCAACCTAGCAGGATCTCTGGAAATTTCTCCAACTGGAGATGTTTTACGTTGGATTGTTGTATAAATGAGTTGACACCTTATCTCCCTCTCATGTACTATATAACCTGTACATGATAATACACTACTGATACATTGTTAAACTGATGTTTAAATATTACACTCTATATATAGGTATACAGGAAACCCCACTGCAGCCCTCAAATACTTCAATAAATCAAGGAAGGACTCAGATTGGGGAAATCTCTCTATGTACAACATGATAGAGATCTGCTTGAATCCAGACAATGATACAGTTGGTGGAGAGGTGTTTGAAACCATGGAAGGTGACTCTGCAGGGTTAGTAATCACTGGTGGTGACCATGTATAAGGTAGCTGGGTCTAATTCATTTGTGTTATAGAGAACATACAGAGTAAAATTTACAAAGGGAAAGTTCACTAAGGTATTTGTTATACTGCTGAGATCAATAAGCTCCAGCTGTCTGTGAAACTGACATACAGGAAGTGATAAGAAATTTACTTCAATAAGAAACTGATACACATGGATTGATCAGTGAAGAGAATTAATTGCATAACATACTGCTCTAGATACTTAAGCTGTGATAACATTATCTAACTTAAGAGTGTTATTTCTACCAAGGTCTAATGACAAAGCTGACAGTGAACAAATGGCAGTACGTACAGCAGAGAAACTCCTCAAGGTAAATACAGATTAGAAAAAATGAACAACTGATTTTTCATTCTGTTTGTTACAGCAAAGCTGATGTCAAAATATGCATAGTTTTTGTAGGTTTTTTATGGAAAGACAAAAGAGCTATTATTGTAAATATTAATATTGTTAATAAAACATCAGAACTTTTAGTTAAAGACCAATATCAATCAGTTTGTGTGAACACTAGATACATTTTCCTTTAATAGAAGCAGTAGCTGGTTTAGATATTAGATTACACAGATAACACAGAAAGTCAAACATAATCAAGTTTCTAGAAATAAAATTACATCTCTACAGGAATTAAAACCTAAGCCCGGAGACATTCGTCCCAAACTCCTGGAGAACATGACACTGATTGCCACCAAACAAAAGGCCAATGTAGAAAAAGCCCTGAATGCTTTCCTGGAGATCTCCACAAATGAGGTAAGACACAGACAACCACAGCAATGTAATGTATCACTATGTTATCCCTTTACATGACTAGAAGAATCCACTTACTAAGTATCAAGTTTGAATAAGGAGGAGACAAGATGAGGGGCACAGAGAGGTTTTTTTCCTTTTTGGTTTTTACCATAGCCTACACAGTTATTTGTGCTGAGATCTGCTCCCACAGTTTTCAACCGATCTTTTTCAGAATTGATATTCATAATCGACTGTATTTCGTTGAGTAACTGCCCCTCATCGTTTTTGTAATGTTAACCATGTCTAGAGATCTTCTTTCTTGGTTTTCAACTGATTTCTGTCAAACTTTGTGTGCTTAATCAAAATGGCTTGTTGTCTTTTCTAGAATGGCAGTTCCATTCAATTATGTTTGGAAGAGATTCTGACTCTTGTTGTGTTTTTGTATTGTTAGTCTTGTCCTTAGATCTTCTACCCCTGTTCGTAACCAATTTCTCTTAAACATAAAAGGCTTAATTACCATGGCATGAGGTTGTGTTTTCTTTCTTGAAGGAGTTATTGCGCGCTTTTTTAAGTGTTTTCTTTTTTGTGCACAGATTTCCTTCTGCAGTTTTTCACCAATTTCTCTGAAACTTGGTAGGCTTTATAACTATTACATGAAACTTCATTTTTCCTTAATGGCATCGTGATTTTGGGGAAAAGTTATTGCTCTTTGTATTTTTCAACATTTCCATCTTTTCCAGGTATCTTCTTCCTCATTTTTTAACTAATTTCTTTTAAACTTATTCGGCTTGAAAACCATGACATGAGATTATGTTCTGTTGTACAGCATTTTGATTCAACAATTTTTCAAAAAGTTATATTCCTCTATTCTTTTCAGCATTTTAATCTTGCCCTGTGATTTCTTTTCTTTCCACCCGTCTCTCGAAAACATGATAGGCTTTAATTCATCAATTAAACTCATAATACTCTTTCCCTCTTGACATTTTTCCTCATTGCCATGTCCCTATTTGTATTCATTTTGATACAATAAATCATAAGTATTTCTTGTTTGGCTTCACACTAAAACAATCAATTGTAATATAGAATTTCTCAATTATGTATATGGACTATATCTTTACTTGTATTTCATGCAAGTTTGAGGTAAAATAACCCAATTATATTACTGTAATTATTTTATAGCGAGACCATGTTGGTGCTCTGTATGGTATGGCCGCTGCCTACATGGTACTGAAGCAGACTCCTCGTGCCAGAAACCAACTCAAACGCATCACAAAAAATAACTGGACAATGCAGGCTAGTTCTCTTTATTTTTGGCTCACGAAATAAAAAATACATTAAGCTATTGTTGATGGAGACATTTAATATGATTGCATACAGGATAATTCGAAGATTGAAATAAAATTAACATTCTCATGGATTTAATTAATCAAAACTTTTAATATGAATCACAATAGTATCTTCAGGACTTTCGTCTGTGGGGCTTATATCCCAAAAAAATACACTATTTAATGAAATTACTAAATAATATTTCAGTGACTACTAAATGAGGACAACACTATTTTATTTTTCAGGATGCAGAAGATCTTGAGAAGAGCTGGTTATTGCTTGCTGATATCTATATACAGGTAATGTACTGTAAATACTTTTGTATTTGATCTGGAGCATTTTTTATCAAAATTTCAAATGATGTCTGACCAATTGTAATCGAATATGTGTTGAATTGGCAAAGACTGTCAACGTTGTTTATATTCTGGACATGACTACCCCACCCATCTACAAACCAATGTAATGGTTTTCTACTTGAAATCCCACCAAATGATTCAAAACTCCTGAGAATATGTTCCCAATGTAAAAACTAAAACGAGAAAATTAGACTGAAAACACAAATATAAGATACCTAAGTGCGACATCTTTAAACTTTAAAAAGTGATATTTCTATTATTATACATGTTTACTTTTGATTTTTTCCTTCCAGTCTGCAAAATATGACATGGCTACTGATCTGCTGAAGAGATGTATATCACACAATAAGGTAGCCCCTTATTTTGCATATAAATTATATATGTAAAAAGTGATGAGTTAAGAAATAATTTTGTCTATACATTAGTGATGTTGTATGTATACAAACAGCTTAAATGCAGTTTATATTGAAGGAAATGTCACAAAATGCATAAGTAAATAACTGCTTTATTAAGACAAGGAATATGCATGCAAACTTTATTGATGATAATTAAGACGAGTACAGTGCTTTACATCGTTAGGACCCCGCATCGAGATGTTGGCGCCCTATAGTAATCAGCTTGTCCGTCAGTCAGTTTGTTCGTCCGTCTGTCCATTTTTGCTTTCTGCACAATAACTTGTGTATTTGTTGTTGAATTCCTACCAAATTTGATATGTGGCATTATATTCATGAGACCTTGCATGGTTCTCGTAACCAATAAAATCTGTCAATATTTGCAAGAGTTATGTGACTTTAAATGCTGAAAATAAACCATTTTATTAGCTCACCAGGCCAGACCTGACAAAGTTGTGCGGTATTAAATGCTTATATGGACATATGTTAAGTATTATTACAGTCAATATGTATGTTTTTCAGTCCTGCTGTAAGGCACACGAGTATATGGGCTACATCATGGAAAAGGAACAGTCATACAAAGACGCATCTTCTAATTATGAATTGGCTTGGAAATACGGCAACAAAAACAACCCTGTCATTGGTAAGTCAGTAACTTTGTACGCCTTTCCTTCTGTTTTACTAAATTGTTGTTAATGTTTTCTATTCTCTACATCTGGCCTTTACACCTATCCATTGGCATGACTTCTGACATCAAATATTGTACTGTTGGAAAACTCTTTTAACAGCATTACAAACAGATAATTTATTGTACATGATAGTTAATAACATACTGTATAACCTTTGTGTTTCAGGTTTCAAGCTTGCTTTTAATTACATGAAAGCCAAAAGATTTGTGGATGCTGTTGACATTTGCCATTATGTAAGTTTGTCTGTGATCATTTCAAAGAATATGTTTGGTTATATATTGCAGTTATTCAGTCTATGTCTGATGGTCAGCAGAACTAAACATATACCCATTATGAGGTCACCTGAGACGAAGTCTAAAGTGTGGTTATATATTGCAGTTATTCAGTCTATGTCTGATGGTCAGCAGAACTAAACATATACCCATTATTAGGTCACCTGAGACGAAGTCTAAAGTGTGGTCATATATTGCAGTTATTCAGTCTATGTCTGATGGTCAGCAGAACTAAACATATACCCATTATTAGGTCACCTGAGACAAAGTCTAAAGTGTGGTTATATATTGCAGTTATTCAGTCTATGTCTGATGGTCAGCAGAACTAAACATATACCCATTATTAGGTCACCTGAGACAAAGTCTAAAGTGTGGTTATATATTGCAGTTATTCAGTCAATATCTGATGGTCAGCAGAACTAAACATATACCCATTATTAGGTCACCTGAGACAAAGTCTAATGTGATCTATTGGGATCACCTTTCGTCTATCGTTGTGCATTGTGTGTCATAATCAATTTACATTTTTGACTTTGTCTTTATAACTTGAAGACCCAGAGTTCTAATATTGGGACTGTAATATGCTTGGATGAAGGACTACCAAGCTGTAAAAATTAGTGACATTGACCCACTTTCAAGGTCACAGGGGTTAGATATTTGTATTCATTCTCAGTTGGAATTACAAAACAGGTTGGAATTTCCTTCTCAAGGAGTTTCAATGTTTTGAAAACTTCAGTTCAGGGTCCTGCGATGTCTTTTATCTCCACATTTGTTACAATCAATACTATGCAGGCTGTATAATCTATTTAACAAATATCGGATAAGGAAGTTTTTTTTTATGTTTGTGCTTGTCAATTTTTAAAAACAAAAATCCAACTCAAGTGACTGTTTAGGCCTATAGGTCTCTTGTTATGTATGTAGATACAAACTGTCTTGAAAGAAACAGTCCCTTCTCATGAATAACACCAATAGCTTAAGATAGTCACTTTGTTGTATCCTGGAATAAGGAATGGAAGGTAGTCTTGAGAAAGATTTATATAAATGTATTTATTGTAATAATACTAACAGCATATTGATATAGAAGACCTGTGTGCAGTTCTAAAATATGCAAATTGCTTTTTGCTGAATACAAAGTTTGTTTTTGTATGTCAGTGTTGGCAAATAGTTTTTTCACTGTAAGCAAAATTCATTTTGGTTTTAATATCTTAAAGCACTTCATATATTACAAATAACATTCAATATTTCACATAATGTGTTACTTGAGAATAATGTGTATCCTTATTCATTGGTCTTTAATGTTGTTTCTATTGTACAGGTGTTAGATGGCCATCCAAACTATCCAAAGATAAGGAAAGAAATCCTGGAGAAGGCACGAGCTAGTTTACGAGTGTGACATAACTGACTGTTTAGAGACTATTTGTCATCTGATCTGAACTTTGTGACAGACACAAAGTATATCGGTGACTCTTATTTAAACGACTTCAGTGGCCTTTAGAATAATGCACACTGCCATTATTTGTGACCATACCATATCAAATTTGTGGACAAAATAATCGTATTGTTTTTATAGCAGTTCAGACTGTAGTCTATACTTGAATGGATGAGCATGTTACGTGTGGAGCACAGTATTGAAGATGTTGAAGATGTTGGTGTTCAAACAGTACAATCTTTTCCTACAAGCCACATCATCCTAGTCATTTTCAACATACTAAGAATGTATATGCAATGTATTTAGTATTTTGTGATGTATATTCAAACTTGATTGAGCACTGTTTTGTATTCTGGATATTGAATTTGCGGAATCTGAATACCTGTATCAGTCTAAAGACGAGCCAAGCTCCGAAAAATGACCAAAAAATTTGAAACTTATAAGTTAATATTTATTGAATCCACAGTTTACTGTATAAAATTCCCAGTGGTTTACATTGGAAGTCATCTGTATTGGGCTCAAGATCACTCAGTGTTGAGTACCTGTTACTATTGCAGGATCTAACAAAAATCAACACTAATTTTTATCGTAAAACTAATTCTATATAAAATATTTGAAATTGTATTTCAGTAGAGAAATATTGAGATCTGTATGTCACAAAGATTTCTGAAAAAAGATATAGATTTTGTTCATTATAGAAAGTAATGAGAATGTTACCAGGTGATTGTACATACAAACAATGTCATACATAGATAAAAGAGTAAGGAATTTTTTTTTCTTATCTTTATAGAGCTTAGAGGTCAAATGATCTATTTGATAATATTTATAAATGGTTGTTGTGATTGTTAAACCATTGTAAATCTTTATTCCGTCCATACACATAAACATTCCACAGATATTTTTAAATGTACTGATTTTGTTGTAGATCTGAATGTTTGTTATAAGTTTAAGAATATTCAGTTTAGTTTTATTTAAACTATTCAGTTATGATAGTATCTGGAAAATGTTTTCCACAGTGATATGGTGTCAACTTTATTTAGACCACAAACTGTACATAAAAAAAGCACTTGCACAAATTTCTCATAATTATCATTTTAACTTATGTGTAATTTTACCATTGGTTCATAGAATCTCTCTTCTGTTTCAGGAATGACAGTGCTATGTTTTTTATTGAAATATAAATTGATAAATAATTCCAGTGTTCTGTTTGATTTATTGATCCTGTACATTAACTGACACTGGATACAGAGAAGATACAAAACCAGATGAAACATTTGCAGTAATGAGTCACGATCGAGGAATGTACATTCCATGTGACACGCAATGCTGCTGAATTAACGCAACTGCAGAATTGATGTTTTGATTTTGTACATGATTTATCCTGCATGGTTCTCGATCTCTCTATTAACACAAAGATATATATGAATCTGTTCTCATCTCCATTTTACAGCAATGATGAATTATATTTTTGTGATTTTAAATACTTAAAGTTTGTTTATAAACATTCACAGTTTTAAAATGTCAGAACTAAGGTGATTTGGTTACAGTTGTTATACTCAAGACGTAGCATGAAAGATAAATACAAGTCAAACCATGATTCACAATTTTTTAAACAAAAATTCAAAGAGCCAAAAACTGACAAAATGATGCATATTTCAATGTATGCTGTAAAAGATGTAGTGTACTATAGTGATGTATGTCATATTGCATTGTAACAGAAATTTCTTTGAATAAACCTCAGATTTAATTAGTTAATGTGATTTAATTTCGTGTGATTTAAGATACAATTCCCATAAATACGTTTTTTGTTTCTCTCTTTTGTGGCCCACTTCATGTATGCCTTCCAGATTTAAAAAGTGTAAATATAAAGATTATATTATATTTTAATCAACAAATAAGATTTATATGTGAAACATGCCGTATTTGATACTAATAGATTATAATGAAACAATTATTTGATGTGTTGCTGTTTATATATAATGACCCAAATTTTGTAGTTTTTAGGTCATCTAAGATAAAGTCTCAAAGTGATCTATTGCGCTCACTGACATCTGTAGTACATTTGTAAACAATTTACATGATTGGCTTCTCCAAAACTGATAAACGGATTGTTAGCTCACCTGGCCCAAAGAGCCAAATGAGCTTATGTGGTGTGTCGATTGTCTGGCATCAATATTTCTTTTCAAAAGACTTCTCAATAACCATCTGACCAAATGTCATGGTATTCGGCTGGTGGGTTGCTGGAATGTAGCCCGATAATGTTTATGAAAAGAAATGACCCTGACCCTTATTCTAGGTCACAGGTGTCAAATTTGTTGAAATTTTTAAATACCTTCTGAATAACCAACAGGAGCAGAAGTATGGTATTTTGCTCATAAATGCCTAGGACTAAGCCAGGCAAAGTTTACAAAATGATATGACCTTGACCCATATTGAAGGTCACATGGGCCAAATTCCTAGTATAAAGCTTGACAACATTTGTGAAAATATTCAAGGTCTCAAGGTTCAAATTTATTAAAACCTTAAAACAACTTTTTCTGACTAACCAAAGTGCCCAGAAGTATGCCATTTGGTGGAAAGGTGTTTCAAGGTAAAAGCCAGACACAATTTGGGAAAACCGAAAGGACATATACCCAGGTACCTATAATCCAGGTCATATCTGTAACTGTTTCGAGTTGAGAATTAGAAGCTGTTTGTTGTGGAAATTGGTTAAAGTTGATTGGATGTTCCCACTTTAAATGCCAATGGTGTATGTGTTGATATACACCAGAAGAGTGATGCAGTCCCATTGGTTTTCTTGTAATGAAATTTTGCAGAAACTTTCAATGTCGAAAGGTGAACCAATATTGTGAATTATATGGTCCCCACTCCTCATGGGCCTGAAATGTGGGGCCAAAAGGGATCAAATTTTGCAGAAAAGGGGAAAGAAATGTTCTTATGGGGCTTTTCAAAATTATGAATTTCATGAGCCCAGGGTCACACATTTCCCCTGGGGGAGGGGGTGAAGTTTTGCTGCTTGGACCAGATTGCTGATCTAAATGGAAAACAAGACATTTCCTAATGTTTTCTAAATTATGATCCTTATTGGGTTTTTTTCACAGCTTGTAAGTTAGAGTTAGCTGTGAAATTATATTACAGTAGAAGTTGCACCTGGTGACCTTAGGATCAAGCTTTGTTTTAAATCCACACCTGCTGTGGCCTTTCATTAAAAAATTAAACAAGAATGAAAGTGTTTCCATCAATTCAAGCATTGAAAAACAAAGTGTTTTTGGTATTGAATGACAAAACAAAACCCACAAAAACTTGTTATTTTGATACAACAGTGTCATCATTTCTTAATATACTTTTTCTTGTCAACAAACATCCATGAAAACTTTTGTTGGTTCGTATTTTTGCAAGTATTAATTGCAATGTCTCAGGATGTGATGCCTCCCACCTGTCTGAATAATAGGTGGGTAAACAGTTTGAAATACATCAATATTCTATACCGCTGTGACGACAATACATCAATATTCTATACCTCTGTCACGACAATACATCAATATTCTATACCTCTGTCACGACAATACATCAATATTCTATACCTCTGTCACGACAATACATCAATATTCTATACCTCTGTCACGACAATACATCAATATTCTATACCTCTGTCACGACAATACATCAATATTCTATACCTCTGTCATGACAATACATCAATATTCTGTACCTCTGTGACAACCTTTCTCTATTTAGTGTCTACTTTGCTGTTGACATTTTATTTATCTTGTAATCCGATAATGTCAGGCTGAGTTGATGCTGGAAATAATTAATTCCTTTTATGTTTGAACCTATATGAATAAGTCAAACACATTAATAAAAAAATATTGTATCGTTTTAATGATCGTTCTTGTTCCAGAAAACAGGTTTGAATAAATACATGTATAATTACATTTATGATTGTCCATCAATCATCCTTCAGATAAAGTTACCTATGAAAAATTAGTATCAAACTTGGATAACTTATATGCAAATTCAAACATTTGATAATTGTGAAATAAAACTTTCATACGATCAAATTTCCTTCCTTCACATGGACAAAAATAATGATGATAGATGAAAACCATAAAGAACTGAAAGAGATGTACAGAAACTGAAGGATTTATCATTTCCATTATCATTTTGATTTTTAATAAAAGTATCAACTGCAAATACAATGAAATGAAACAAGAATTATGATGTATGTTTATTACATTATAGTGGATAAAATTGCACGTAAATGTTATACATGGCATTCCGTGCATTTCAACACAATGTTAAATACAAAGAAAACGACTGTAATAAAAATATAAAAAGGATTCACATGTCTAACTTCTTGATTTAAACGGCATCACACAGGATTTCAGTTTTAAAATACCGGGCAAGAACATCACTAAATACATACATATATATATATATATATATTAATCTTTTACGTACAACAATGTAAATATATTTTTTCTGTTTTTTTTTTGGTAAATATGTTTTGAAATAACAAGATCTGCTGTAAACAATGAAAATGTGCAATAAGTCTCTCTTTAATGTAGGTACGATATAAAATATCACAGACACAGTGAGTGTACAGGTAAACAGACAACTGTAGCCTTCTTGTCATCTTGTCCCAGACAGTGAGTGTACAGGTAAACAGACAACTGTAGCCTTCTTGTCATCTTGTCTCAGACAGTGAGTGTACAGGTAAACAGACAGCTGTAGCCTTCTTGTCATCTTGTCTCAGACAGTGAGTGTACAGGTAAACAGACAGCTATAGCCTTCTTGTCATCTTGTCTATTTGTAAAACTCCAACCACTTTGTAACAAAATCACCATTACTTAGGTACGTGGAATTTTGTATACAGGAAAGTTGAAGTAAAAACAGTTGAATTACAATTTTCTTTATCAATCATGACTCATACTAAGACATAATAATGGACATTTTGATTCTGTCAAATGTTATCATGGATCTGTAATTATTTCTCATCGTTTGGATATCCATTCCAGTTTCCATTCCATAACACTGACCACAGTTTTCAACATTTCACATCCACAGAACAGTAAGTAAGTACAGTTCTATACTGATTAAAAACTCTTCAGCTTCTATAGTGGACCTTTGGTTGGATATGCGCCATAAGCAGGAGTTGCTTGTCTGTGTAGAAAAAAAGATTTGTAATAACATTAGTCAAACCTTGTAATTTTCTTTACAGATTTCGCTCAAAAGAATATTATGAGTCAGAGCAAGTATATACAAGTAATATTAGTGACATCATGTATAAATCTGTAGTACAAAGAAAATACAGGTAAAAATTCAATATTTGTTATAGAACTACTTGTTTCAAATGTAGTTTGGATTACTTCTCTTGATGAAAAACAATCAATGAAACCATTAAGTTAAGTCATTTAAGGTGAATGTGAGATATGGAAAGCACAGCATGTAGATTTAATCAATAATAATGCATTGTTGTTGACCATATCAGAACATAATGAAGTATATATCTGGTGCATTGTTTGTTTATATTTTAACACATGAAGGAGCTAATATTTTTTAAATTATGGTAAACTGAACTATTTTAGAGGTGATCTTACGTAAAGAGGTTTTATCACTCACATAGTATTGCTTTGAAATATGATTGTGCTCGTCAGTTTCTGTATATATATAGTAATAATAATAATAAACTTTTTTTTACAACAATTGCGAATTTTCCAACTTATATTAATCACTCTCGTTGGCTCGGAGGAAGTGCGCGAGGGGTCTTAGTGTGGGAGAAAACTGGAGTAATGATGCATTTGCAGATAAAATATTTAAATGTATATTCTAAATTTAACAAATTTATTTCATAAACACTTAGAAATTAATCCTTCTTAATAAGTTGATAGTCAATCCTAATCAGTAGCCGTTGGTATTTATTCCAACAGAAATTGTAACTGACTGTTATCTCCTTCTCAGAGGTTTCAGCCAATAGGCTGGTGATTTTATTGTAACCGTAAGTATCAGTTGTTAGGTAGGATAAAAATAGGATAGACATCTGCGTTTATATCTAATGTGAAAAGTTTGGGTTGGTCCTACTGGTTAAATAATGACCATCATATGAGTAGCATTATCAAAATTCATAAAAGAATTTATATTTATCATATTACTGGAAGTTGGTTCTTTCATTACTTCTGAAATAAAATATGTTGTTATACCTTTAATGTTTATTCTCTATACTTTTCTATTGTGAACAATGGTTACTGGTGAACATCTCAACGTTGACTGCTTACGTTACGGCTCACTACTCACTGTTACTTCACCGCTGTTATTCAACAAAATCCGCCATTATGCAATAGTACAAATTACAAATTCCCATTGTTGTTGAAGATTCATTTCAGACTTAAAGTTGTTGAAATGATGTGGTCTTATCATTTATATTTACCTGTCACAGTTTGTTTTCTTAGATATCAATAGTAGGAGGTATAACAAAACATTTGTAGACTGGATTTTCGGTCAACATGTGTTATGCTGAACCAGATCACTAAACTGTTGCCCAAGGCTGAAGGCAACAGTTTGGTCCGAGGGTTCAACATAACACATGTTGATCTAACACCCAGTCAGCCAATGTACATTTTTCTTCTCCATGATGATGTCACATTTAACATGATATTTGATCATTACTGTGTATTCTGATGTTTTTCATTAATGCAGTCAAATGACCGTATGGTGACTATTTAAAATAAATAGACATATAGTAGACATGTTATATCTAGTTATTGGAGTGGTGTACCCTGTTCAAGAGCACATTCAAAATTGCACTTAAGTATGTTTCACTTAATAAAACAAAATTATATCCATGACAGACTACGCTGGCATATTTGATATATTTAAATGTATTGTTCTTCGACATACTACCATTCAATAACTCTCTTTTTATATATATGAAAAACAATCAGAGTTCAAGCCATTTTTCTCAAAATAAAGAATGCAAGAAATAAGGAAATGGCTTTTTTCAAATTTGAACAACATAATTACATAATTTGAATGCCAGCTTGTAAACATATCAATGGTTTATTAGAGCTTTAACAATTAGAGTACCTGTTACTTTCTTCATATGAAGGGGGAGGGACCATCGGAAATTCTGACTGTGCTGGCGGTGCTGAAGGTATTGACAGTACTGATGGTGTTTCCCATGATGCAAAGTTTGTCTGTGGATTGTTGGGTGAGGCTGATGATGGCGTCATTGTTGGATTATCAATGCCACTCCTCTGGCCTGAAGCACTACAATTGGCTGCATTCTTTTTTCTTTTCCATACTACCCATATTACAACGGCCATACAGACTAAAACTCCAACAACTATACCAGCAATGGCACCACCACTGCCACCACCACCACCACCATCACCATCGCATGAATCTGTAAAGAATTAAACAGAAATGTTAAGATTCTGCATGGATAGGACATTTCAATAAAAATAACTAAACTGCATAACAAACATTTTCTTCTTCTAGGACTTGTCTGTGATGCTAAGGGCTTGACCGAGGAAATGAGGCAGTAACTAATTTGATCAAAAGAGGTGTCCCAACTCTTTATGGAGAGGTGCACTAACCCCACCAGTCACCTAGATGCATATTTGTGTATCTACACACAATCCCTAACATCCCTGTGTAGTTTCATTGAAATCAGTCCACAACATTAGGTGCAGTCTGGAAAAGATCTGTCTAATCATGGGTCTTATGTGGTTACCATAGCAACCAAATAACATTGGATGTGTTTGAAAATGGTACCCTTATAAATCAATTTTCAGCACAAATAGACAATATTTCAATTTCAACCAATCAGAAGCCTCTATCATGTTTCCATAGTAATGGTTCTGGAAATATCTGATGTGTTAAATTATAAATAACACCACCTGGTCAAGTTTTTAAAAAATTGATCAAAGGAGTGATGAGTTATAGCCATTACATAGCCAGAGTTCTATGTGCCTTAATGGTAATCTAACTACATAAACTCTCTGTGAATGAAATCTAATTAAGAAACTGGTTTCCATGATGCAGATGGTAGTTATGCTGAGCAGAAGGTAACTGTAACAAGTGTTACCTATTTTTTGACAATAAAGATGGAGTTCAATCCCACTGGTGAAACTTGAGGAGAAATTTGAAATAAGTGTTGCACAGGAAAACCATGATTGTGCAATCTTGTTACAAAATGGCCTCCGTGGCTGCTGTGTCAAAGTTTTGACATGGTAAAAAATAGCAACACTTTGTTGGCTACCTTTTCTTAACATTCACACTAACATTTAGCTCAATGGCACCAGTGGAACTGGAGAAGTTTAAGATATGTTTTCCAAGATGGTGCCATGGTGGCTATCTTGGATTTCAGACATACCCAAAAAATAACAACACTTGGTCAGGTCCATCTCAGGATTATTTCAGACAAATTGGAGCCCAATCCCACTGGTGAAACTTGCTCCATGGCTGAAGAAGTTTAAAATGTTTTTCAACACGATGGTCATTTTGGATTTCAGACATACCCGAAAATTAACAACACTTGGTCAGGACATCTCAGGATCATTTCATGCAAGTTTGAGCTCAATCACATTGGTGGAACTTGAGAAGAAGTTAAAATGTCAAAAATTATGTGCGGCGGACAACAGCAAATGAAGCACAATGGCTATGTGTATATTACCTGTTCATAGTAACCTAGTTACCATGGCAACCTAAATTTCTGCTAACAAAAACGCCCTGCATGCACTTCTACACATGGTGACCAACAACATTCGTGCCCCCCACCCTACTGTTAGTCTCAAAGACTGCACAAAAACCACTGAAGGGAATGCCCTTTTCCATGAAGATTTCACTATGGATGCTACATACATTGACTTTATAACTCTGTTTTGGTAATTAAGTCGATAGTGTTACCATTACCACAATTTACTTTCTAGAATAATTGCATTTCAGCAGGATATTGTAAAAATAAAGTCTTGTTAGATGGTTCAGAAACTACGGTAGGTAAGTCCAAGTTTAAAGATTTATATAACTCTTGTTCGAGAATCGAGAATTTAAATCTACAGGATACCGATCATTTCAGTCTTACGTAATTGTTTGAGATACAAAACAACTAAACTTGTGTGATTATGGGATGTATAATCAGTACAATCTCTTTCAGGATATAATATGCATTTAATTGATGACAACTATTTGTAATGGTATCCACAAAACTCTGAAAGATGTGACAGTGTAAAATAAATTCATGGTAAATATTGTACTAAAAGTTTTCCTGAAGTTTTATTCAAAATCACAAATCAGTAAAGGTAAGAAATGTTCGCAATAAAACGAGTCGATGGATTACTGAAGGTGGTCTCTTCAAATGTGGAGATGTGTTAAGTATGAAATGGTGAAAGTCTCACCTACAGAACAAGCATGGTCTGCTGTTGAAAGAGCTCCATGTTGACATGTGTAAACTGTTCCACAGAATGGTTTATTTAGACCATTGTTGGCATTATCTAAGTAACACCAGCTACAGCCAGACACATTGTGGCATCCTCTGCAATAAATTCATGAAAACAAGAACTGAAATGTGAATTTAATTAGATAAAAGTATCTAGTAATTAATGATCAAATTAAGGCGACATGAGATTTCTGATATACTGTCAGTATATACCAATTGTCTGAGATTTTATAAAACACTGATTATGTAATGAGATAAAAATAAAAACTGTTACATACTCCTTTGCTGATCTTTCTGAGCATTGAGCATCAAAACAGATGTCGAGATTTTGTAACTTGCCAGCATCTGTAAGACCCTCAGAGACCAGGTCTGGAGGCTGAGGGCTGCATGTGGGAGCTGCATCACTAAAGCACAGAAATAGTTTTTTTGATGTAACAGCAGTTTCAACAAACGATACCAGGTAAAGTATTGCAATGCGGAAGGGAACTTCAAAATTAAAAAAAAAAAAAAAAAACACTGAAAGAACACAAGGGAATTCAGAACAGAAAGAATGAAATGAAAAAGGTACTTGTCATGGAGTCTCTAATGAGATACCAACAATAAGATATGTAGTCAATGTTAAAACAGAATATGTGTTGATTATGCTGATCTCCTAAACTTTGGACTCTAGTCATGACAACAACATTGAAAATATGTTGCAGCAAAAGATAATTTAACAAACATAAAATGTATAAATACTGTTATACCACATAAATATCATAACTTGAACTCACAGACACAAGTGTGAAAAATAACATGACAGTCAAGACGAGTGACAATTGTAATGGGCATGTACTTTCTGGACTTTTTAAGGTATTAATACAAACAAAAATATGTTCTGTACCTTAGTAAAGGGTACACATCCACACAATAGTTATACACTGTTTGCCTATAACAGAGACAGTCACAGGATGTTAAACCACACAATTGTCGGTCTGGTGGAGTGCCATATGACTACAAATGAAAAACAGGAGCTCATAAATTATCAAAAACTTCATAACAAATGCATCGATAATTTGCGAGATGCTTTTGAGATATGTCTTGAAATCAGAATAAACTCTTTGTCTAAGAGAGGAAATAAAATGAGATGTTGTTTATAAAAATAATGTATTAACTTTAGAACAGATTTTCTGAAGTTCTGTTCTACTGACATTACCAACCCGAAGAAAATGTTAGGAAATATGTATAAATTTTCCATATTACAAGTTTATTCAACAAAATGAAAAAATATCAATAATTTTTTTAAGATTGAATGACAGCTGAATTGTTAAAGACTCGTGAAGCAGCTTTGTCTATACTAAGTAGTATTAGTAGATTTTCAACATGGTAGCAATAAGACCTTTTGCTTTCACAGTAGTTATCACAAATCATTCTAATTTATATTATTTCATGAATAAAATTAAATAACGTCAATTGATTTTAAAATGAAATTGAATAAATAAGTATCCAAATCGAAGGATTGTGCAAAAACACTAATTATTAAATGCCATTTGAAAATAAACATATCATACTGATCTAGATATATTTGATCCATAACAAAAACAAAAGCACATAAAAGCCTGAGAATTTCAAAAGCTCTTTAAACCCAATCTGTCATTGCTTTTAACTTTGAAAATATGCAGAACTTTAAATAAATTCTCAAAAATGAATATTTTGAAGATTCCTTAAACCAGTGCTTCACTTTAAGCATGTTCTAGAAATTTATGTGGGTTTTTTAACTGTTTCATTCTCAGTTTTAACTGGTGGAAAATTTGAGAACGATCATGAACATGCTTAACTCTTCAAGAACTTTCTAATAGATGGCGACCATACAAATGACAGTTAACATGTTTATGCATTCTGCTAGCCACTTACAGAACAACATGAACTCTGTGACGTTGTCATTTTCCTCTTTATGAGTATGTAAATATTCGTATTTGCAACTGGATGTATTTCATAGGCTGCTGAACTGCTCATCCTGTTAATGCTGCTGCTCACAGAAATCTATTTGATAATGTAAAAAATAATCATAGCAGTTAGAAAGTGCAAAAGATGAAAATCCTTATTTTTTAGGATTACTACAATTAATTGTGCTATGGCAACACTTGACAGATATTAACCATACATAAATATACCAAAATTTTCTGAGTTACTTTTGATAGAAATAATGTTGATTCTGTTTCATATCCCTGTTGAAAAAAACATGATGCCATAATACAAGATTACGTATACGTCATTTAATCACTTACTCGGTAAGAAAACTGTTCTTTAATATTCTCAAAATCTAGACAACTAGTTTTGATCATGTGTTGACGGCTAAGTAAATCCTCTGCTATAGCTGGCTCCTGTTCAAAATAAAAAATAAAAATATATGATGATTTTCTTTCTCTAAGAGTTTTACACAAAATTCACTAAAGTGAATACAGAAAATTTAAAATAGATAAATGGCATCATGTATGTTGAGTTTGTACTTGGTATCAAGACATCGGTCATTGACTCTAGGACTTGAATTCCCGGCTATATGCTCAGAATGATCAGTGATGTCCCTTGAGATTTATAAAAGCTGTCATACAACCTGAATGAGATTTTCTAGTCCAGAGTTTCAACACCTGGTACGTACTACAATTATATTTAATATTTGACAATCCTCGTATATACATAAACCATCATTACACAAGTTCCAAGTGATGATTACCTTATCAATGATGTGCATATTTTCAATCATTGGTTCGCCAGTAAACTCAACAAAATCCTTGTGTACAACCACCAGGCCGCTGCTATCTACCACAATACAGCTAAAACATAAAAATGGGATCAGAGTCTTTATAAACACAAACCTTATTTTACAACAATTGTGAAACAGTCAACAAACATATACTTATCACTGTTGCACAGTTGTTGGCACAAATGGGACTTAATGTGGGAGGAAACTGGAGAACCTTGGGAAAACCCAAGTGGTAGGGCAGGTACCCTATTACATTTCCATGACCATTCTGGGACTCAAACCCCGACATATAGGGAAAAGCAAGTGAGTTAATGCTAGGCCTCCCAACCAGATGTTTTCAAGGAATAGATTTCTATTTTGTTTAGGCTATGCAGGGATAACTAAATGTGACCTCAGGTTAATTAAATAACTGGTGAAGCTGGTTTTGTAGATCATTTCGCTTCAACCTATCTGATAATATAGTGACGAAACAGACAACATACTTTATATACCCCATATATATAGTCATTATTACCTAAACACAAAGTTTATTTTACAATGATCTCATAACTTAAGATCTGCATATTCTCAGTTTTATATTTTGACTCAAAAATGATTCTTTAAATGTTTCTTATTTCATGAAATTCAAGGTTGTAATATATATTCATGATATCAATGTAAAAACAAAGGTGAGAGTCAATTACGAGGTTAAGAGATACATACAAAATACAAAGTGTCAATTACATTTCAATATCGACACACATGTCCACGATGTAAGTGTACATAATCAAAGTTCACAGTCTGCTGTAGAACTTAACCAATTAAAGTGAGGGAATTGTTATTGCCAAAACTTTACTTATATCATTGTTAAGGAAACTAGTGTTTTGTGTTTTTATGGATTTAGTTTTCTCAGATTGATATTCAGGTTTCAAAATGGGATTTTCCAGCTTTTTCATATAATCAGGATAAAACATCATAACAAATCATATAAAAACATGAATGAGATGAGACGGACATCCCTGCCCACCCTCCCCTCCCTCCCACCTACCCCTTAACTTATGACTTACCTGTATTCTGTCTGTGAACATGCTGGGAAGGAACTCAGTAGGAGTTGATACATGTAAGGAACACGGATATCTGTTCCCGCAACAGCCACCACAGGGGTTTGGGAACTGCAACATAGTAACATTTGGACATCAAATTCAATACTGTAATTAAATAGACATGTTGATATGTGAAATGTTATGTTAAGTTTGTTAAATCTAGACAAAACGAAAGTCACAATAATTTGAATGTTCAGAATTGCCATGTTTTCAAAATTGTTTCAGCTAATCCTTAATTTTCATCAGGTTATGTCGCAAGTAAGGATGAGAAGAGTAGTTATAGAAAAAGTAGATAGGGATGGGGTTTGATGACCAATACTTTTAGTATAAGGCATATTAAGCAAATATTATGGCTAACCAAACTTAAGAGGGACCAGTGAAACAGACACATATTTGTTAATGTATAGACATTTTGCTTAGAGCAAAGCAACAGCTGACCTAACATCACATTTCTGTTTGTAAGATCTAATATGGACAGTTTACTAATTGATCCAAATGAGTCTAATGCGATCGTAGGAGTACTTAGTCTGCACAATCAGTGTTTTAATAGAAACTTCTATTTTGTTTTTTGTCTTTTTTTGTTTTGTTATTAAACTTAAGCTAAAGATATTGATTTAGGTTTCAAACTTATACTTACAGATATTCACTAGAAATTATTTGTCTTTTCTCGAAAATGCTAAAGTATATACAAACACAAGTATGTTAATGTTCCTCCTTGAAACTTTACTTATCAATTAAATATCTTCATGAAAAGTATGCATGATATAAAATGCCTAAATTGCTGATGTCATCATGTTTCCATGAATGAATTGACAAGAGTCCTATAATTCAATCGTAAATTTTATCCAATCTCAAATCATTATTTTAGCAAGAATTACAGAGTTTACATTACTTTCATATAAGCACATACATGTATTAAACTTTTAAGCAGATTAAACTCCTTAACGGAATGCAATTTCCAATTGAAGAGTCCAGTGACTCATCTGTTGCTGTTACATTCTGTTTATGAGAGCAGTTATTCCAAGGAGTTTTTGGTATCTTTACAACAGTTAGCTGTTGTACAGTTGAATTTAAAGTCAATTTCTAGGACCATACAGCTGTTCTCTTGCCTTTAAAAACTAGATCCAGCTTTTTATGTGTCTTTTTATATCAAAACAATGTTTGAATGATCTAGACAATGTGCCACCTGGTTATATAAATTTGGTACTATATTTATGTTAGAGGATGCAATATGCGAAGTATGACATTGATGTTGCTCAATATCCATGTCGTGTGACTTCATTTAAGTTGTATCATTAACCAAAAAATCACAAAGATGTTTGGGTAATATATATTGACTAAATTAGTATGTGCAGTACCTGTACAGGATAAAAGATGAAATTAAGGTGTTGTATCTTAAAGAGTTAAATAATGCAAAGCAATATTTATGATGATGAACATGCGGTGTCTTTTTCTGTTTTTAAAACACAAAATAACGTGCAATATACTTGCCCACTTTCCTGGATGGTAGTAGATACAGTAATGACATATCCCAAAGACCACTGGTCAAGGTATGGGCTGCTGAAAACTACCTTCCCCTTTAGCGCAACAGATCTAATAAACCTGCATTGATAAACGATAAAAGAATGAAGGTCAGTCAGAGTTGCTATAGATGACAAGATGCTTTAATCTTTAGCTGAAGCTAAAAGCTTGGGCAAATGTTCAGACTCAAAATAGTCAATTATGACTCAGAAAATTAGCAAAGTTTGAGAAAACTCTATGACATCATGTCAGGAAATTCACAGAGGCAAGTAGAAATCAGCCCAGGATATTTAAACGTATGTGGACACATAAACTGGTGAGGGGGACCAAAAAAATTGGTTTTTGACATCCTTCAATCCTGTGACTCCTCTTCAGGAAAGGTTCTACATATCTATACTTTTCCCAGGTGTTCCACAACAGTAAGCGTCTTCTGCTTCTTCGACTGTTAATGTGTCAGGATTTGTTTTGTTGTTTGTGCAGTATAGGGTATGTAAGAGCTTGTTGATTACCCTACCTTGTATTTGTCTCAACCTGGACTAGTAACAATTGGCTGTATTTCTTTTTTATTGGTAGGTGCTTGGAATTTTCTAAATAAATGCATATTAGCGACTTAAACTATTTACTAAGCAATGAAGACTATAGGATACACATTTTCGTTGGACTGGAAGGTTGAGAGTTGCTAAACATGGTCAATTTACATTATATGTGACGATTAAGCGACTACCTTTTTAATCTCTATAACACAAATAACAGGGAAAATGTATGTCCACTTTAATATTAACATGAAAATAAAGAAATCTCAAGGTCAATCTGGCTCAACTTTAAAACATACATTATATATCATACATTTTGACTGTAATTTAGGAGTTGAAATCTAACATACCACTACAGGACTGAAGAGCTAGGTTTTATAAGTTTTCGTCAACTTTCGGTAAATAGAAAAAAATTTAATTAAATTCTAAGCAGAATATAGACAACAAATGGTTACTAGATTGGGTAGATTTCAGAGTGGCACACACAGAAAAGATTTATTTACAAAGAACATAGAATTGTACAGCACCATTTAATACAACTTAAAGGTTAGACACAGTAGAGCTCAATAATGAAGGAAACTGCAACATTTAGCTGTTTCTTCCTCCTACAGACTCGTTAGTATGCTGCTAAAGACCTGAACCAATGTACTTCCAATTCAAGAATTGTCTACTTCACTTGCAACATGTGGTGGAAAAAATGACATACCATGGCCTACGGGTGTGGTCATAGTTCTTTGGTAGCTGAGCCCCAGGATACAGTCGCATAACCCCATCAGTGGTGCCGATATATCGCCACACTACAAGGTCTGCCTGCTCCGGTTTATTCTTCCACATCTGTTCTGCCTTGTAGGTCAATGTAACGGAGTTGATCACAGTGTCCTATGGTGAAAATAGGTGTAAGCAGATGTATATGATATTGATTCCATGCAGCTTTACATACTTCTATTGAAATCTATGGAGCATTGTAGGGCAATCTCTTCTGGACAACAACAACTATAACCAAAATCTAGACAAACAAGAGTATTGTGAGTCGGTACATGATATGCCTGTCATAGGGTGAATGAGTGTTTTGCAGCAGGAAAGGGAAGGAAAGTGATGTTAAATGTCTGATCAACACATTAAGGACATTTACAGATAAAATGGTGGACGAAACTGGAGTAAACCAACGAGCATCAATGGCAATTACATTCCGAGATAGTCTGTGAAAAATATTCAAGTTATTGTTCAATCAAATGTACAAAGGTCATAGCTCAAAACTTAATAATTTTGATTATCAAACCTCCAAATTATGGAAACTACTGGAGTGAAATAAGGAGCTATAACTCTGTGAATTACAGACCAAAAGTTACTTGATCCAATTTGTCGTAACTATAACAGTAATTTACCTCCCTATAAAGTTTGAAGTTGATCGAGCAGACACTGTTTTGATAATTGACCAAAGGTTCATAACTCTGTGAATTATAATCAGTTTGATAATGAAGTTTAAAGTTGATCCATTGAAACCTTCTCGATTGAGCAGACACCATGTGTGCCCACCCGCTTGCCTGCTAACATGATGACATAATGACTCATCTTTCAATGGGTATGTGGAAAGAATCACTTAATGTACAACTGTTCAATGTTTCTGCAGGGTAACCTGGTGGCACAGTACAAATCAAGGGGTGTGTCCTGATAATAATTTCTGTCTTGAAGACAATATCAGAAATTTCACAAAAATTGTACAAAAGACAGAAGTGAATCGCATCATTCGATACAAATTTAGAATTAGATACTATAGAGACAAATAATGATTTTAAACTGCATTGTACAATTGTTTGGTCTATCTAGGACTTGTTACAGAGACTGCTGACACCTAAGGAGTGACTGAAGAAAATCCAAAGAGGTCAAAATCAATATAAAAACCTAGATGGAGAGGTGCACTAACAGGAAAACTCAATAATTAATTTATGAGTCAATTTGATTTAGTTAACATAAGCTAAGATTGGTATGTTGTGCAACTGAACAAGTCGTGATACTCCAGAAAATAGGGCAGTATCGAGCAGGCTTTTACTTGGAATATGCATAATCCATGATACATTTTTGATGACTTCATCTTATGAGCTTAATTTCTTTGCAGTACATTTGTACACCATTGATTCACATGTCCTAGGTCCTTGAAACAACAATACAGCTCTTTGAAATGCATCCAGCGATAAAAAAGTATCGTCAAGACAAAGACTGACAATAATCTTTATCTGACAATGACTGACAATAATCTTTATCTGACAATGACTGACAATAATCTTTATCTCATAATGACTGACAATAATCTTTATCTCATAATGACCGAAAATAATCTTTATCTCACAATGACTGACAATAATCTTTATCTCACGATGACAGACAATACTCTTTATTTCACAATGACCGACAATAATCTTTATCTCACAATGACTGACAATAATCTTTATCTCACAATGACTGACAATAATCTTTATCTCACAATGACTGACAATAATCTTTATCTCACAATGACTGACAATAATCTTTATCTCACAATGACTGACAATAATCTTTATCTCACAATGACTGACAATAATCTTTATCTCACAATGACTGACAATAATCTTTATCTCATAATGACTGACAATAATCTTTATCTCACAATGACTGACAATAATCTTTATCTCACAATGACTGACAATAATCTTTATCTCACAATGACTGACAATAATCTTTATCTCACAATGACTGACAATAATCTTTATCTCACAATGACTGACAATAATCTTTATCTCACAATGACTGACAATAATCTTTATCACACAATGACTGACAATACTCTTTATCTCACAATGACTGACAATAATCTTTATCTCACAATGACTGACAATAATCTTTATCTCACAATGACTGACAATAATCTTTATCTCACAATGACTGACAATAATCTTTATCTCACAATGACTGACAATAATCTTTATCTCACAATGACTGACAATAATCTTTATCTCACAATGACTGACAATAATCTTTATCTCACAATGACTGACAATAATCTTTATCTCAAAATGACTGACAATAATCTTTATCTCACTGACAATAATCTTTATCTCACAATGACTGACAATAATCTTTATCTCACAATGACTGACAATAATCTTTATCTCACAATGACTGACAATAATCTTTATCTCACAATGACTGACAATAATCTTTATCTCCCAATGACTGACAATAATCTTTATCTCATAATGACTGACAATAATCTTTATCTCAAAATGACTGACAATAATCTTTATCTCACAATGACTGACAATAATCTTTATCTCACAATGACTGACAATAATCTTTATCTCACAATGACTGACAATAATCTTTATCACACAATGGCTGACAATAATCTTTATCTCACAATGATTGACAATACTCTTTATCTCACAATGACTGACAATAATCTTTATCTCACAATGACTGACAATACTCTTTATCTCTTTATCTGTATAATCTAAAAAAAACTATAATAAGTACAGATAATATCTATTACACATATTTCATTACTGATAATAGCCTTGGTATTCAATTCTCTTCCTTAACCTATCTAACAGTCTTCAATTAACATTATTTATGTAAGAATAACATACTATGAACATTATCTATGTAAAAATAAAATCTGTATGATTACATAGCATTTCATATTGATTAGTACCACTAGCTTTGGGGATATGCTTACTCACCTTCAATCCAGGATTAACACTTGTAGTACCTCGGAGATAATTTTCGTAACTTGCTACAATTTGTCTGGTTTCTTCCGTATTGAGGTAATTCAAAGGATCCTTAAATGATCCAGGTGTTAACATAGATATAGAGAAATCTACAAATGAAATTGGATTAATATGAAGCACTGTTTTTCAAAACAATTCAAATAACACATTGTGAGCTCAATAGTAAAATAGAGATTAAGGCATACACTATACCTTTGGTTGCATATCTGTTGAAATGTTTGCAGAAAGAAGTTTGGGAAGTATCCAAGTCCAATCTATGGTAATGAAAGACATCAGCAGTTGGAGTCAGATCTAGCAGCTTGGCCAAGGTGTCGCCTTCCCCAACTACTACAGCCATGGACAGGTTACTATTAGGCACCTAGGGATGTAACATGTTTTTATAACTTCTAACATGACCAAAAGTAGTCAATATCATAATTTGACTTGATTGCTTTATTTCTGAGATAAGTATACACCCCTATATATTTTGGCATTTACTAAGACAAGTTCTATTGTCTGAGCATCGCAAGATCTACAAGAACTAATTAGTTGAGTAGTACAGTTCTATTGACCGAGCATCGCAACATCTAGAGGAGCTTAATAGCTGAGTGATACAGTTCTGTTGTCCTAGCATCGCGAGATCTAGAAAAACTAATAAGTTGAGTAGTTCAGTTCTATTGCCCAAGCATCGCAACATCTGGAGGAACTTAATAGTTAAGTGATACAGTTCTGTTGTCAGGTCATCCTGAGATCTAGATTATATAGAATCAAATTTTAGAACAGTGTCACTTTTTGACTGACTGTTGTAATGATGACTTAGTGCATCACAAATAGCTACTATATCAACACAATAAAGACGCAGTACTTTCCACAATCATATTTTAGCACAATATTTTCAGCATAAAAAGCATCGAAATATAATTAGAATATTGTTATGATTTGTTGTACATTTTCAGTATTTTATAACATGCAACATTCTACTTACTGTACCCCAAGCATATGTAGACATTATGTCACGGGTCTCTATTCCTTCGTACAATACACTGCCTCGAGGAATGGTTCGTTTGGAAATGAATGTTTTCTGATTTGTTGTTCCCCTGTAACCAGTAACATCATTAAATCTCCACTGAAATCGGCACATTTTACATTGGATCTTAAAACAAAATAGTTCAGACTGATAGCTGAATATTTAAAACATTTTAAGATAAAGAGAAAATATTACATACTTCATCATTTCCTCGATGACTATTGCTGCATCAGATGACCTCTCCATCTGATTGATGTGAACAAAGATTGGGTCATCCGTCACAGACGACAGTTGAGGTAGTAGTGGATGCATCAATGTACGACCAATCTGGTCTATGATGAAAGCATAAGATAATTCTCCCTGACTAAAATAGGTTATGTCTGAGAGGAGGTCAGCCATTGTGACATCAGAACAAGAAACGCCCATCAGGTCCCCTGATCCTCTGTATACAGGTACACAAACTGACGTGATCAGACCTAGATAGAAAGCCAATTATTATGTTAGCATTATTACGTCATAGATTTACCATCATCTGATACACACATGTATATATGTAACCTACACACACACAAAAAAAAAAAAAAAAAGAATTTCAATTAATCTGTTTGTATGAGAACTAAATGATAATCAGTGTGTATCAGATTTCACAATAATGATTATGAATAATGCATAAAAAACAAACCTTTTTTAATAATTTGTAAACAATTTAAAAAACAATCAGCTATTATTTGATTTCATTTTTTCCTATTGTATTACAACTTTTATCACATTCTGTCATTTGATGTCTTTATAATGCAACCTAATTCTGATATATCCCTATTTTCCTTTTAACACATAATTTCTGTATTCAAACCATTCGTTGGTTTATTATTTCCTGTTTGGCCTTTATAACAGTTTATTTTTTGTTTATACAGAACGACAACTACTGTAATTGATAAATAGGTCTATTTACTTGGGATTTATTCATTCCTGTCATAATATAATGATTTTAGAAGAACCTTGTTCCTATCAACTCACTAAGATGTGAAAAACTTATTTGACGGTTGGTCGTAAAAGCTATACTTATCATCCAGATAATTTGAATTTAGTGTTATGTTATGTAGGTAACATATAAACTGTAGTGACTATCATTCTCCACATATATGTTCTGAGCGAGGAAGATTTTTGTCACTTACAGCAAAAAAAAGTACAGCTGGATATATCTAATCCTTTGTCACCAGTTAGGAGAAAAGGGAGTGTCTATTATATAAACTTTAACTTACCTAAGCCAAAGGCGTCGATGTATGGTACAGAGAAGATTGGTTCATTCCTATGCTGGTTACTGCTGAAACGGTTGTAATAGGACGCCATGGAACTTCTGAGGAGATTTGGGTCAATTATTTGCTTATACTCGCCTCTCTGTTAACATATCAATGCAGGATCTAAGACAACCAGTGGGTACATCATATTTGTTATTACACGTGATTTTAATAGAAATTGAAATTGGCCACAAGATATTTTTGATTTTCCAGATAACATTTGAAGACTGAGTCTATAAAACATTGACTGAATTCCAATTGATAGAATGTCAGTGGCAGTGCTTTGATTTTATCAGCGGATTCTTCTTCTTATAATTATTAGACATAACACCACAATGATTATCATTTAAGGAAATCAGCAGATGGAATGTTCTAACATACTGTGTTTATACGTCCCTGGCTTAAGGTGTAGTGAAAGAACAACATAAGCTTATGGTCACAATTATTAAATCAACTAATACGAACGACAAAAGACACTTTGACCATAAATAATATCACCTTAGCCTCATATTCAATGATAGTTTACCGTTATTTTATAAGCACACATGCACTGACAGGCCATGTCTTCACTGATATATTTTGATTTAGCCAGTTAAAGGTAAAAGTTACCAATGGAATTAGTGATTTTAGTTGAAATAGTTATTTACCTGGATAGCACCAAATGATGCGTTTGTTTGTGTTTGAGCTGCCATATTTTCCAACAATGTCTTGTCGCCTGCACCAAAAGCTAGAAATAATCAAAGTATCAGTGAATGTAGGTCTTCAATAAAATTGTATCAATATTGCTAATTTGTGTATGTATTGCATAATGTATGACGTTACCCATTTTTTTAAAGAAATTTGATCATACATTTTGAAATATACACGATCTGATGATTTCAATTTTCCTTTCATCAATTCTCCCATACCTGAGAGTGACATTAAAACATCTCCTGTTAGTTGTACATATACATTGTATCTGCATATCGTAGCTGCAGATTCCACTTTCAATTACTTATTCCATATCTCTCTATTGGTGCATCATAGATTCCCAGCTGGGCTATATGACATGGCTATTTACATCAGCGATTTCATTCCATGCCTCAACATATTGGAAGATAAAACCCCTGGGAAAACAGCCTATACAGTGGAAGGCAAAGAAACAGGCAATGTACTTAGAAAATGTCACACGTTATAAAGCTCTCACAGGATTTACAACATAGCAATAAATAGCAGGTATAAGGTTGTAAAAAAAATAGTCTAAAACAGAGAAAATACTGAAAGGACATGGACGGTCCAGCCCGATGAAGAACGGGTGTGATTCATATACTACCTTTCTCTAAACAAAAGGCTTCAATACTGGTGTGATAGTCCAACCAAACCCAGTCATGAAAAAAAGAATAAAACATGCTGAGGAAGACAATTTTGCATATCCAACATAGTATCGCTCCCAGCTACTTTACCTTCGAATGTTAAGTGTGACAATATAGCTCCTCAATGCATGTTAATGAATATATGGCTAGAACCCTGAAAATCCCATATAAGGCATTAATACATGGTATAAAATATCTGGATTAATACTTGGACATCTCAAAACAAACACCATATCTCACCATTGATAAACAATACTCATAGTTATCTAATCACATATACACAGCTTGACACATGCTGAGCACAACTTACAATTTCCAAGAGCATACGTAAAGATCATAATTCGATTCCCAAGTGCTTCATTCCTCCGTGCTATGGTAGTCAGTGGATCACCACCTGCCGTCTTCCTTCCATCTGTTAGGAAGAGTATTACCTGTTCTGAAAACAAACAAAACAGAAAAAGTACAATATCATAACAATACTTCATACTAGTGTGATGGAAATACCAACATTTGAACAGAATCATAAGCCAAACTCAAATTCAATAACAATTTAGCAAAATATGAACAACAGAAATGTTTACACTAAAACTCCTGAAAAGTACAAGGTGTTCCAGAAGATTAAGCATTTTCTGTTTCATTAACAACACCCACAACATAAATGGCAACTAAGTAATGTAACATCCTCATGAGAAAATGAGAACAAGGTATACAACAACTCAATTTTTATCAACCTAGGTCTCTATTATGAGTTTGTCTGTCAGTTGACAAAATTTTGCATAAAATTTGTGATATTTAGAACTGGTCCTTGAATATCAAATCAAATGCAACATGTAAACACCATAGGTTGGGAATACAAGAATACTGCTATCAAAAAATGGAATTGGGAAATTGAAATCATCCCGCTCATCATACAGCTTAGTTGAAAGCTGTCCAGGTTGGTTTCATTGAGGGAAAAAGGTCGCGATAAGCAGCTGATGTAGAAGAGTCTATCATGTCCTTGATTTCAAATTCTGCTGTGTATATATGATGGATATGGTCAATAATTAATTCACAGCACATACTGCATAGCATTCTGTATACAGTGCAGTGTTTTCTCTCTCTAGGGCACGTTAGTGGATTGTTAAAGGCCTAAGTTTTGAAACCTAGAAGGCAACTAAGAAAAATAACTACTGTACCGACAACGGTACAAAGCTAACCGCACACTAACAATAAAAAGTCCCCATTGAAGCATCAACACAAAAAATACAGGTCTTTTCTTAAACAAATATGCATTTTGACTCCAGGAAGTAATAGTTTACCCCTAAAGAAACCTTGATACCAAATTACAGTAAACCAATTCTATGATAAAGGGATTTGAATGAGGCCTTTCAACACTTGCACTGACACTGAAGCTGTCGTGACAACATAAGCTCCTCTGTTTTCAGGCGACAAGCTGAAGACTGATAGAAAGAAATTTCCAAGTTCAGATGGGAGGTGACATGCATTAGCCCCACAATTCAACCAAGTTTGTAATGTTTTGCTTTGATCTGAAAAGTGGCATGGTTTAAAATGTACACATGTACTTAATGTTCTTCTGAAATTATATCAGATACATATATCACAACATCTGCTGAATTATTGGACTGCTGTTCTACACATCTAGATTTTGACATTTCTTCCAATTAAACATCAATAACATTACATAATACATATTTTAAGGCATTCTTTCATGTTTTCAGTTTTTATCATATTGTCACCATTTTATAAAGATCAAAGGAAAATTTCAAAATGGTGTACGCTCTAACAGGAATTAGTAAAGAAAAACTGAAGACAAAAATTTCATCAGATTGACATCTTTTCTCAATCAATTAGTACCAAAATGTTTTTCAGAAATCAAAAATTTCTTACGTTTGACCCAACAGAGAGGTATTTTATTTGACAGTTTTAGTATTAACATATAGAGACAACAAGTTAGCCCCATAGGTTACTTACAACTTATATCAATGCATTAACGTGTATAATCAATGGTTTTTGAGCTAAAGCATGTTAAGTTTTTCACTTGTGACTTTGCAGTGGTCACAATGGATTTTTGACCATCGTGTACTTTGAAAATTTATGTTTAACAACTCCTTCAATCTATGCCCTACTTTATATTTTCCAGACTGTGATCCAGATGGCGAAAAACACTTATTAAAACCTTATAATGCTAAGTACATACACTACATTTTGATATAGATCAAATGAAGAAACATGCCCAACCTCTATGTGTACCGTTTGATATAAACGATGATGTTTCAAAAACATCAAAAGCTTTTGTCAAGGCAGCTTCGTAGTTTGTAGCCACTCCTATTGACAGTCTGTTGATCCTCTGTTTGAGATATTTCTGATTCAGAGGCGTTGCCATAGCTAGCTCTGTGGTGAGACATTGACGTTCTGATATACCAACAATCTCTGCGCCTGTCTCAAATGCGACAACTGAAACCTGGAACAACATACAGCCATTCTGTACATGTGGTTAGTTTTCCCTAAACATGCACCAAACAAATTCTATATACATTGTGTACATGGAAATTTTTACTGGTTTTACCATTGAAGTTTGAAAACAAAGCTGATAAATATATATTTTATTTTGGGCGATTTCAACTCTGAGTAAAAATAAACAGTTTATAAGAGAGAATAAAAAGTTGACTGTTTCCTATATACAGTATAATGAAGGCAATCAGATATTTAGATACAATGAGAATACCACAATGTTCACAAAATCTTAACTTGAATTCCATGAAATTAGGGCAAAAGAAATATATACAAGAAAACTCTAAAAAAAAAAAGTATTAAAAGGACAAAAGCTTGGTCCCGAAGGGTAAGTGTCCTACGCTTGGTCCCGAACGGTAAGTGTCCTACGCTTGGTCCCGAACGGTAAGTGTCCTACGCTAACAACATCAATCTTAATTGGTTAATAAAAGTAAGTAAAGTCAAGTTCCCAAATGAGAATAAGGAGGAAATTGCACGTTGGGGTGGAAAACATTCCCCGGCCTTACTGTTGCCAAATGGCAACTTGTTCAGGTAGTTGAAATTGAAATTGACGATTTTTGTTGGAGAGGACAATTGTGATAGAGAATAAGTTTTTTGATAGAAAGGGGTATATCTTATACAAACATAAAAGGAATCAGGATACACCCGAATATAAAAATATGGGGATAAAAATGTGATTGACACTCGGATTAAATTTCATCAACTATGGGTTGAAAAGTAAAGTTTTGTTTAGCATAACAAAACAGGGCATACAGAAAAAATATAGCAGGTGCTTTACTACCTGTTGTCAATGGATAAGTGTAAAATAATATAGACCGTTGTTGTAATTTAAAACAAGCTGATTTACTCACTCTGTCATTAGGATTTAACGTCTCCAGAACAGTATTAGCAGCATCTTGTGCTATTTTCATCAGTGATTTTCCATTGTATAGATTGCCCATTGATCCTGATCTATCTATTATGATCACTACGTCCTTGTGAACTGGGGTAGCAGTAGCTACATAAAAAGGCCTGGAAGAGGAACAGATTTTGTGAAAACCAGAGCCAACTTAAGTGCATGATCAGTTAACTTCTTGACTTTACATCAGTCATAGCGATATATGTAAAATTTAAATAAATAATCAATTTAAACCATAATAAGATAAAACGTATTGGTGGCAGGTTGAAGTACATGTAAGCAAAGATCACTTATTATGCTGTAGTAAGAAAGTTGTTCAATTGCATTCAAACATTTATTAATTACGTTGAAGCAATAATAGGATTTAATAGAATTGATGCAGTACATGAAACTATTGATGTTTTAATGGACTCAATGAAAATCTGGCAAAAGAGAAACAAAGGAGACCACTAACATAATATAGGGATAAAAAGATCAGATAGCAAAATTCAACAACAGCTCTGTACAGTAAGACTAAGGGAACAAATAAAGTTTTGGGGAGTTGGAGGAAACTTGACGAGGGAAAACAATTTAATTGGCTTGCAAACTACTAACCCAACAGACATCATCCCCCAGTCAATGTGTCTTGACCCACGTTCTAATAGGAAAGTGGCTTGAAGCTCATGCTTGATTGCATGCATTGCAAAAGTTATACTGTCAGTGCATTAGAGATCACAGCTACCAAAGCACCCCAAGTTTTATGTTCCAGAAGAATAAATGTCATCTATTTCATCAATGATACGTCTAATGTAAATTTTAGTCACTCCTATTAAAAATGTCACGTCCCCAAATGAGAACAAGGTCACCAACAAGCAGTAACAACATAATGTAGCATGTGCCAACAAATGTTTATATATAAATAAGTATCTTAATGCAGACAAATTGACTATATGTGGTTGTCACTCAAAGGTTAAATGTATAGGAAATGACACTGTGTATAAAACTTATATTTTACATATAATGCATGTGTACGTCATACAAATGTGAACAATTCCACAATTATTTGTACAAATAACATTATTTGATAATTTGTGCAAACAGCATTTAAAAAAAAAATACCTAAACCGTGGGTCGTAGTTAGAACAGTCTGCCTGATTGACAGATGGCCAGCTGAGGTAATATCCATCCTCGCTAGCAAAGTATTGCCATTTCAAGTTCGGGTGTAGGCGAGCGTTTTCCCTCATGACATCTTCTACGGCTTGTGTGGGGTACTTTCTGTCCGGGGAAGCATCCTTCGAAATCTGCATGCATGACCTATCCAACGCCACCTGTAGAGCACGACATGATTGATTAAATATCCTTCTTGTTATTTCTGCCAATGATTAACAAGAAACTAGAAAGGGATATATGTTGGATCACTGATGTTTAAATGCATTGTGACATAAATATTATACAAGAAGAAAAAATTGTATAAGTAACATTATCTCATTTTCACAGACAGTAACATATTTCAAATAATTGGAAAATAATATTTTTGTTACTATATTAATCATCAGTACTAATATCACAGAGAAATTGTACAATGGTTATCCAGCCATTTATTCAATTTCATTTCAGTCATGAAAATTACAAAGACCTTTGATAATTTTTTTTTTACTTTGTGACCCGTTAGAGCAATAACTACAAACTTACCTCAGTTTTGAATTTAGAATTGTAAGAGACCCCAATACCTCGGCAGCATTGATCTGATAGAAGTGTAGATGAAAAGGATGCTTCTTCTGTTTCCACTATATTTTTGATGCGCTTTGCTGCCGATACAGGTCCGTCAAATTTATATCCAAGAGAAGAGGAAATCTAGTGAGAGAAGATGGAATCACAATGTATGGTTTATTGGTTTATATTGTGTAACATCCTATCAACAGCAAGGATCAAAGAAAGGATGACGTTCCCATGTTTCTTAAGGTAACTACATGTGTTACATATGTTCATATTTAATTTCGGAGGCTGCGATATGCTTGTGTTAGCCTCCATACGGTAGTGTGGAATTGAAATTGGCTTTACAGTGCTGTCACACTGAAGTATACTACCAAAACTCCTCAGCAGAACATCCTAACAGGTCAATTTTACTGACAACAGATAAACCAATTGTTATACTACAATGCAATGCATCATTACATACTGAATGTCAAATACAGGTATATGTAAGAAAAATATATGTTTGATATTCATATATCTGTTGGATATTTCATAAAGTGTTAAAGTTGATGGAGTTTCAATCTATAGAGATACAGATCAACACCATATCATTCCTAACAACTTCATCCAAATAATATATAAACATTCAAGACATGTTTTGTGTCAAAATAAACAAATTCTAATGTATTTCTTCTACATTATTCGTATGTGTCATATTTAATATCGTAAATATTTCAGATCTGACAACGATAAGTATGAAAAGGAACATTTCAAGGTTGCTGCAATTGTATTGGAATTTTTATAAGCATTTCTTAAAATCATAAAACTATACATTTAGTATAATTTATGAGTTATTGCCGATATTGTGGTATCATAATTAAATAGTAGAAAACAACGGAAAGGACTTACAAAGACTTACTTGACAGTTAAACAATCTCAGATGATTCAACATTATGCAATAACATTAATTCTACCCTATAATAATGAAACACCAACTCATTTGGATATATAAACATTGAGCTAAGTGATACAGTGTTATACAATAAAAAAGTCCTTCTTATGCTTACTCATTAAAAAGAAAATCTAGTTATGTTGGAGTGGCTTTCATCATGTATAACAGTGTACTTGTCTGTTATAAGTAATGCTATATAGGAAGGAAATTGACCTGTCTTGTTGACCATCCTGAGAGTCTGTCAGATACTTGTATATCAGTAAAGGAGAACAACTTTATAATACATTTACTGGTCGCTGACCTGATCTCACCAAATACAAATGCCCGCCAAGGTCTTCAATACAAGTGTTTCATGTGTAAGATCACGATATTTCTGCACTCTAATTATTCAAGGAAAAAACACATTGTTTTGAAAATTCCTTACATGGGCTAATTAACAAAAATTCCTTAAGCATTGGTAAGAATTTGTACTTGACGAAGAGAGATTGGTGCCCAGTATATATATCTTAACCTTTATAATGACTGCAATTTATCAAGTTGTCTTGTAAGCCCTAGCTTTTACTTACTTCTGTTACAAGACTGACTCCTTCCACTTCATTTGATGTAGACTGTGCGTCAGAATACATTTTCTGAAATGTAAAGTGTAAGAACCAATTAAATTATGGTGATTACTCACTATATATATTTCACAAGCTAAAAATGATTGCATGTGTGTGCTATCTACTGTGCCACCAAAATACTCTGTTAATTTCTCATTACAGAATCGATGAGTCATTAATTATAACATGTTTAAAATAAGAAACAAAATTATGTTAATTTTTCGTAAACTGGAAATATCTAAACTTTTGGCACATTCCTACCTGTATATCAGTAAATCCAATTTTAGTAGTAACATCTCTGACGGTATTGCTGAAAATATTCCCGTTCAGTAAGGCAGAGTAAGCTATAGGTGTGAAGTGTGATATTAGCAGTAGTAATCCAAGTCCTCCACCTATACAGTGATGCCTTCTCCCCATCACTGATCAATGATTTTATTTAGATATCTGTATCTGGAATGACAAGAGCAGTGTTTTTAATAGGATATAAATGGTTTGTCATTGATTTATCTTAATATAGAGATGTGATTAATATCTTGCCATCCATTAAGACACACCTTTGTGCGATGACATCACTCCAGGGATTGTCTCAGTGTGATGCAGTGTTAACTGTACAGTTAAATACACATATCAACTTATAAACTTAAAAAAAGTTTATGATGATGTAGAAAATATGACTCAAGATGTATTTTTATATTCAGTCTAATGCTATTTCATCTTGAACATCTGTGTAATTTTTTGGTAAAATAAGATAAAACCTACTTGTATTTCTCTTTCAATAAGCAAACAATATTATTTGTCATAGCCATTTCTACATGTATATGTAGTGTGCTCCAAGTATGTACAATGTAATTAACACAATTACAATTTTCATAACTTTAGAGTCTGTGAGGAATGTATGAATAACTTATTATTGAAAAGTTCAGATAATACATGCTTCATTGATTATCATAGGAGTGAGTGTTGACTGGGTTCTGGCCTTGTCTGTCAATTCAAATAAGATAATAATAGAGTAATGGCAGACAAAAGTAAGTAGGCTTATTGTTATAGTGGTATAGAGAATGAGTAAATATGTGTTTGATGTAGTGTTCTGATGTGGCATTCAAGTAAATATGCTCATTACTATAATATTATTCCGATACATATGAAACTGGGCTTATTGTTACATAGAGCTTTCTTTAAGAAAATTATTTGATATCTCATTGTAACAAATCTGTCTAATATAAACGTCTCATATACCTAACATTTCATTCATTAATAGTATTCTAATATAGCAGCTGTCTTAGTGTCACAATATCAAATTAGGCATGTCTTAAATCATGTATTTATCATGCTCATATGTATATTAATTAATCTTTAAAATAAATACAGGTAACACTTATAATGTGCACAGGTAATACTTACGTGAGTTTATCATTATAACGGACACAGGTAACACTTATGTATGCGAGTTTATCTTTATAATGTGCACAGGTAATACTTATGTGAGTCTATCTTATTTATGTACACGGGTAACACTTATGTGAGTTTATCATTATAACAGACACAGGTAACACTTATGTATGTGAGTTTATCTTTATAATGTACACAGGTAACACTTATGTGAGTTTATCTTTATAATGTACACAGGTAACACTTATGTGAGTTTATCATTATAACGGACACAGGTAACACTTATGTGAGTTTATCATTATGGACACAGGTAACACTTATGTATGTGAGTTTATCTTTATAACGTACACAGGAAACACTTATGTATGTGAGTTTATCTTTATAACGTACACAGGAAACACTTATGTATGTGAGTTTATCATTATAACGGACAAAGGAAACACTTATGTATGTGAGTTTATCTTTATAACGTACACAGGAAACACTTATGTATGTGAGTTTATCTTTATAACGTACACAGGAAACACTTATGTGAGTTTATCTTTATAACGTACACAGGAAACACTTATGTATGTGAGTTTATCATTATAACGGACAAAGGAAACACTTATGTATGTGAGTTTATCTTTATAATGTACACAGGTAACACTTGTGTGAGTTTATCTTTATAATGTACACAGGTAACACTTGTGTGAGTTTATCTTTATAATGTACACAGGTAACACTTGTGTGAGTTTATCTTTATAATGTACACAGGTAACACTTGTGTGAGTTTATATTTATAATGTAAACAGGTAACACTTGGGTGAGTTTATCTTTATAATGTACACAGGTAACACTTTATGTGAGCTTATCTTTATAATGTACACTGGTAACACTTGTGTGAGTTTATCTTTATAATGTACACAGGTAACACTTGTGTGAGTTTATCTTTATAATGTACACAGGTAACACTTGTGTGAGTTTATATTTATAATGTACACAGGTAACACTTGGGTGAGTTTATCTTTATAATGTACACAGGTAACACTTATGTGAGCTTATCTTTATAATGTACACAGGTAACACTTGTGTGAGTTTATCTTTATAATGTACACAGGTAACACTTGTGTGAGTTTATCTTTATAATGTACACTGGTAACACTTACGTGAGCTTATCTTTATCTGGTCTTCTCATCTAGCAGACCAACAGAGGTTCATCAATACCAAATGTTTGGCACATAGGTGACTATAACTACAATGTGATAAGTATACTACAATTGTTTTGAAAATCATTTAGAGAGAAGTACCGGGCCTCAAAACTGAGGATCTTCTTTCGGTTCGCACCGGTAGGTTTTGTTAACCATGTATTTCACAATATCAAAAATTCCTTGGGCCTACATCTGTGGTGTAAAATAAAACCATTGAAAAGCAGATAATATTTCCTGACTGAAGTAAAATAATGCTTCCTAGTTAAAAAGTCAATCACATCGAACACCATTTTGGTTGCAATATAATCTTCGATTCTGCAGTTGTATTCCTAAACCTAGGCTACACCCAGTAGAACGATTTCAAGACAAATATATATATAATCCATATAAACTGCCGTAACATCCATACTCGCTGAAAGGCCGTATTAGTGAACGTATAACCAGTTAAATAACTTACTCACCTGCTAGTGACAATTCGTAAACAGCAAATGCTACATACAGGTGTAATGATCTACATGTATCTGTAATTAAATGAGGGCACACCTTGTGGTCTAGTCATGGTCTACTGCATGTGCGTTGAAAAATTCCATTCGTAAACAAACTAGTATGGCTAGTGGAGTGTAAAGATCACGGAATTGTTTTATTTGAACTCCTGATTTGTCGACATGGTTCACCACCATAACCCATTCCAAACAAGTAATGAAAACGTTTTTTTCTTTATTTTTATTTCTTTTCCAAAAAAGGTGTTGAACGGCGTTCATCCTCGGCACCCGGTGAAGCTCGCACGATCGATTTTCACCTGAGGCCGGGAATGAACGGCGGCATATATATGGTAAGTTGTGAACCACACTAAAGCGTACATTTGTATTTCGTAAAATACCGAGGACGAATTTAAATCATAAATATGATCGAGTTTCTGGTTGACATCGACTTCGTCGCCTTGGATGGTAAGATTTACCCATAGATTAATTGTATGGGGAACTAATTGAACTAATTGAATCACGCTGCTGACCTATTTTTGTTTTCATACGAGGCTGTATTTATCGAAGAGCCAATCAAAACGGGTAATAACGGCCTTGCAATGTTTAGTTTCACTTTCAGATATATATTGATGACGTTTTTACTTTTAATAACAAGAAATTCATTGACCGAGTACATAACATACTTAATGTATACCCACCAGCCATAGTGAAATTAATTTTACCTTGGGGTAATCAAACTTCATTTCGCATTATTTTTATCGCAGCCTGAAGAGATTTTGAGATTTTTCTTTTCATTTAATTTCGTGAAATTAAACAAACATTTTGGTGTCTGAACTCTCGCCCTCCTCAATAGATTTGAACTAGCCAATTTATCAACAAATTATTTGGTTTTTACTATCTCTCCATTAAGAACACGAACACAAAATGCAAATAAAAATCGATTTCACTATACTGAAAAAAACACACAATGAAAATAGATAACTGGAAATCTTCGTCGTGTACATCAGCCGCTTATCTTCATCTTTTCTGACAACGAAACCAACATGGACAGCTGTCCACCAAGCTGCATGGTAAGCGTAATGATTTCAGTTTCCTTGTGGATAATTTTCTGTTTCTTGATAGAAACAGTTTGCACCCCCAACCTACATAGTAGTGTATTCAAGGGCCTGAACCCATTGTCACGACTTTTACACAAGAAGTCGTCAACTGATAACGGACAAACTGGTAACAAAGGATTTCAAAAAGATGCAGGTTGATAAAAATTAGGACATTTTAAGAACGTCATAGTGAGAAATATTCTAATTTTTGTACGTTATCTATGAAGCAGGACATTTTTTATTCTCGCTAGTTTGCGTGATGTCTCCGGTGTTGTGTCTTTTTATCTCATTATAGAACATGGGCATTACTAACTTGGACTATATATATCATATATTCTTATATTAAAAAAGGTCATTTATAAATAACTTCGCATATACATGGCTGATATGACTATTAAACCATTATAAATCTCTGTTCCGACCATTATACACATAAACCTCCATACGTTCAAAACACTTGTACAACAAGTAAATATCCTCCAGAGGACAACAAAATATTTTATGGCAGAGATTAAAGTGTATTGGACACGTGCGTCCTCTAACAACAGTAGTGTTGTTCAATACTGAAATAATGAGACGATTATCGATATATACATTTGTATGAAAAACTTTGTTATAAGAGAACAAAATATTAACATAAATTATAAAATCAACAGAAATAATATTTGCAGAAATTTTACAGAACAGTATATACACTTGTTTATTTATTTTATAATCTGCTCAAAATCTATGATCCAGTGACATTTCAGTGTCGAAATTTTCGATGCACTATTTCTAAACAGTTTAGCTGGAAGTATTACCACCAATTTTGCCTGTCCAAAAAATATGAGAGATATTTTGATACTAACAACAGTTTTTAAAAAACAGAATGAGTTCTTAAACGGTACCGAACAACCAGGCGGAATATCCCTTTTAACAAACGTAATATTTAATTTGAGGAAATTCGTTAGAGGCCTAAATCTAGCTAAACCGATTTGCAATCGCACCCCTGATTGTTGCGTAACAGACTTTCGCTGTTATAAGCCGAACAGAACGAAATATTTCATCACTGCACTTTTTATATAACCGTTATATATATTGTAATCGTTTTAGCTTCGGGTTCGACAAATAATCACGGATTGCATTGTAAATATGACGGTGGACCAATCCTCAAAATAAATCTAATTTTTCATTTTAGTGAAATTCTTTTTCACTCATTACTTCCTTGATTGTAAATATGATTAGATGTTAAAACGGCGTGGCAGAAAAATATAAAGTAC